TGGGGAATGATAAATAAATTACCAGTTGGGTTTTTGTCGCTTGGGAAAAGAGAAGAAAAAAAATTTAAGTTAGATCCAAGGTTAAGTAAAAATATATGCTCTGTTTTTCAGAATTACATTTTATTTCTGAAACCGAAGAATACATATTTATTTATTTTATTTCATTTATTAATATGTTCAGGACTCAGTGTATGAAGGTCTCAAGTATAAGCTTAGGTTCGAATTCCCCTCAGGTTTGTTTTATATAAAAAATCTAATTATGGAATTTTATAAGGTTTTACAAGCATCTAAATAGTACTCGAATATTCATTAACAAGTTATAAGATAAGGATTTATTCAATATGTATGTTGAGAGGAAGTTGAAAGTAAATCAGATTAACCTTCACTCTCCAGAGTGCCATAAACGATCATGAAAGTTCCTTTGACCCAAAGAGAAATATTGACACAGAGCTAATGGTTTTTCGGATTAAAATGCCAAATCTAGGAAGTCTGCGGTCCAAAGCTGACAATTTACAAATGGAAACCTTCAAGAGATATTCCAAACTACAGAATTATAGAATTCCGTAAAGATTCTCATTACTTCCTTGGTTACTGAAAACTAGGCAGACAATTAAGTTAATAACATTTTTCAATTGTTACAATCTATATATAAATTTGTCTTGTCTGTCTGTTTGTATCCAATAAACGTCAAAACGGCTGAACCGATCGGGCCCAAATTTTTTGTGGGACATCACGTGACCACAGTGAAGGTTTATGAATGATAAAAAAATGTGTTTCAAAGGTTTTTCATTTAGTAAAAAAATTTAAATTCTTGAAAATCCGCGATTTTTTTTTAAAAATCCGCAAAGTTTTTTCTTTTTTGTTTCAAATGTAAAAAAAGAACATGTTCACAATTTAAAAAGAAGATGGGCGCGAAGCGCCCTAAAAGGCTAGTAATAATAATATTAACAATGATATTGCAAGGTCCACATTGTGGAACCCTGAGAACGCCGTCGTGATCATTATTTCATTAAACAATTTAATTTGTTCACTCCTATCCTACATAAAAGGAGTGTAGCACTGATCCCTGAAAGCAATTTTTGGGGTCTGATCTTCATTGATTAATTGATCGATTAGTTGGTTGGTTGGTTGGTTGGTTGGTTGATTGATTGATTGATTGATTGATTGATTGACTGGCATGAATTATTTAGGATACCCCTACCAGTCTCCAGTAGTTAAGTTTATTACACCCTGCTTCCATCCTAACGTGGATTCCCACGGTAACATCTGTTTGGATATTCTAAAGGAGAAATGGTCTGCGTTGTATGAGGTAATTGATAGAAATTAATGAACGGGATGATTATTGTACCAAATATTATCAAATTATTGTTGTTGAAAAAAAATTGTTTCGTTTTTGTTAAAAAATGTGGGGGGAAAGTTTATTCTAGTGTTTTACAAATTTTCATTAAACTTCATTAAAATTAATACAACAAAAAATGAGAATTAGTGTGGTAATCTGCAGTAAATGTTATCAAACTATAACCTGAGAATTGAATGTTATGACTTCAAAAATGCAAAGAATTGGCTTACATTTTTTGTTATAACTCAATTTTCGATAAATTTTTATTAAATGTCGGAAAACTATAGAATTAACATTTTTACAACAATTTTTCCCAATATTTTTTTTAAAAAAACAATGTTTCGCAGATTTTTTTTTCAACGTTCATAACATATTTTGGATTGCATCACATTTATTTTTGTATGTCTAAAATTTTGAAGATTTTGTCCGAAGCATTGATAGATTTTTTTTATTTCTCCTGTTTAGTGTATATATTAAGATTAGGACTATATTGATGTCTATACAGTCCCTTCGTTGTCTATACAGTCCCTACTAGGAGAACCTAACAATATATATATTTAGATTAGGACTATACTGTTGTCTATACAGTCCCTACTAGGAGAACCTAACAATATATATATTTAGATTAGGACTATACTGTTGTCTATACAGTCCCTACTAGGAGAACCTAACAATATATATATTTAGATTAGAACTATACTGTTGTCTATACAGTCCCTACTAGGAGAACCTAACAACGCAAGTCCTCTTAACACTCATGCTGCAGAGCTCTGGGCTAATCAGGTTGAATATTTAGTCATGTTTTACTTATTCAAGAAATCTTACTTTTTATTCACGTTGTTTTAATGAATCCGAGCAATACCATTCAAATATCTTTAAACTAACTTTCTGTCAAAACGAGCGATTAAAAGAAATTATTTTTAATGTGGTCTAAACCTCAATAGAGTAAATGTAGTAAATGTTGGTTCCATTTTGGTTCTGGGTTAGATTTGGTTCTGCCATAGCCCATAAAGATTAAAAACAAACTCAATAAATGTCCTCTCCTTGAAAAGATTGGGGACAGAACAATTATTTTTGGGGATTTGACAAAATTGTTTTAAAACAATTGTTTGTTCTTTCCATCGTTCAGTAGTTATTAAACTGTAACCATGAAATACTTGAACTTTGTTTTACATTTGTCCGAACTTTTCTTTGAAATTAGTATTTTTGGTATATGAATATATTTTGCTTTAGGTTGCGTACAAGAAACATCTTCTAGAAAAGTATGAAAAGGACAGCAAGCAGCAATAAATCAGATATTCCCTCTTACCATTCTCAACCCTCACCACCTCCTCCCTCTTCACCTCCTTCTCACCTTCTCACCACCTCCTCCCTACCTACTCCCTCCTCATCATCCTCCCGTAAAATCCTCCTCTTCCCTCACCATTTCAACACACCTTTTTTCAAATCCCACTCTAGGATAATATTACCTGATCCCTATTGGTTATCAAACAAGATTTCAGTTAGTCTCTAATTACCAAGTTTAGAATATATCAAGTTTACGGGAAATTGTAATTAACATGGGAATTACACACAACGATTATTTTATATGGTCAATATTTGTATAATATCTGAGCCCGTATGGTTTGTGGATTTTCCAAATTATTAGGATTGTTCGAGTAAACGAAAAATATGCCAAATACCCAAACTTAAAGATGCAACAAAATAAACAATGGAAAATGTTGTTAGTTTACAAGAAATAGCAATAGATGACCATCTTCTACGTTGATATTTCCATGTTACAATTACATTTCTACCTGAAAAGTATTTTTAAAATTTCAATTTCAATTTTCACGAAATCGACCTTATTTTACAGGAGTGACACAATTGTGTGTTATTCATCAAATCTCAATTTCTATTTTTTTTAAATATTTTGAAATATTTTCTCGTGTTTTATCAGGTTTTAAATGTTCACTCAGTTGAATAGTTTTCATATGATTTTTTTGTAGTCTCTTCAATTTTATGTGATCGTTAACTGAATTGTAAAAATAAGATCAATCAGATATGTGTCGTCGTGTCACGTAATGTACATAAAACTGGGGGACTGACGCAAGTTTGTATTCCACAGTCAGTATTTAATGGATTGGTTTATGATGGGNGGGGGGGGGGGTCAATACTAAAAACCTTGGTAAATTGTATCATTTTGAGTTTAATAAATTGTTTCAGTGAATTTTTTCTTATAGTTAAGAAAAAAGAACATGAATAGCTTTGAATTTCTCCTTCCTTTTACTGTATTATATATATTAGGCTTTTGCCGTTTATTTCGTTAGAAAAATCTGCTGTTCAAAACATTTCACTTTAAAATCAATTTTATGATAATATGACTTCAAATAATATTTTTTATTAGTGCTTATGTATCTTTCAAATCCACTATACTCCATTTCTGACCTACGCATAATCCGCTATACTACACATTCGACAGACTAGCACGTGGTTTTACAGCGGCTAGATGGACTTGTGGCCGCAGCGCACGGCCCCAAACCTGTCCCCGCAGCGCTCGGCCCAGAAATTGTCATAACTAAACCTAACCCTCAAATAATACAAAAATTAATAGTTGGCGTAGGTCCAATATAACAGCAGGTCATAATTAGGGGGATGTTGCGTATAGACGATGTACGTGAACTACTCGATCACTTTCTATAGAGAGAACGGGCTCTATCATGTTTCTTAAATTGAGTATTGAGTATTTTCGGTAACGTCTGAGGCCGTTCCTTCCATAAACTACATTGGTCGACAACTTGACGTCTCCTATATTGGTCGTCAGGTAATGTTAATCCGCTCTACTGCCCTTCCGCTATACTGCCCATCCGACCTACTGCAACATCTGACCTATGACAGCTGTAGGTCGGATGGGCATATGTATCAATTTTGTACATAACCAGCGGTAATTTCCTAATATACGATTTTTTGCCCCCCCCCCTGTAGGTCGGATGGGCATTTTTCGTAGGTCGGATAGGCATTTTTCGTATCGGATAGGCACTTTTCGTAGGTCGGATGGGCATTTTTCGTAGGTCGGATGGGCATATTTCGTAGGTCGGATGGGCATATATTTCGTATTAGATGGGCACTTTTTGTAGGGGGGCCGAGTGCTGCAGCCATGAAAGACCTTAATTTTAACAATTTTTAATAAAATTAGTGTATATTTAAGGTTAGGTTAGGTTAAGCTCATTTCTGGGCAAAGCGCTGCGGCTGGGACGGGCTAGGAGGCCGAGCGCCCATCCGACCTACGAAAAATGCCCATCCGACCTACGAAAAGTGCCCATCTGACCTACGAAAAATGCCCATCAGACCTACTAATGTATCCAAGCGACAGTTTAAAGTAGGTCGGATACACCAATATGCGGTTTTTAACGTGCCCATCCGACCTACAGTGCATCGGACCAACAACAGCTGTTAAAATCACGTGCTTGTAGGTCGGATGGGCGTAGGTCCAAAAATACACCATCGACAATCGACATGGGCAATATTTGCATCGGAGACCGTCCTCACAAGTAATTTTCAAAAAAGACGACAATTAAATAAAATACCGCGTATCTGTTCCTATCAAATTACTGCGCGCATAGACAGACAACTGACAAACACACAGCTGTATTTGAGGCAGAGTGCTTCATTTATAGATTTAAGACTCCAGTAATTAGGTGTATATAAATAAATGTTTATCAATCAAGAGGCAGAGTACTGGGTATATTCCTAGAGAACGATTTTTGGACCCCCCCCCCTAGTCTGAAAAATAATATTCAATATAATTTAACTCATTATTATTATGTGTTAGAAAAGATTTTACGAACGTCCCCATGTAAATATGTAAACCTTATAGTAATTTAGAAATTATTAATTATGAAAAGATGAACCGTGGTACGTGATACTCGGGTTAAAGAATGTTTTTAATTTATTTCTCGAGGGATATCGGTTAGATTAGATTTCTGGGTCAAGCACAGCTCCTAGGATGTAGTCTAGGCTGGTGATTTCTCAGAGCACGATTTTTGGATCNCCATTCCTATCAATTTTGTACATGGATCTTACATGTAACACATGGATATAATTGGTCATGTGGCCGCAGCGCCCGGCCCCCAAGCCTTTACTAGTCGCGGCGATCGGCCCCCTAGCTTTTCCTAGCCGCAGCGCTCGGCCCAGAAATTGTCTTAAGCTAACCTAACTCTAAAATAAAACAAAATAATTTTGCTGAATAATAATTGGTCATGTACAAAATTGATAGGAGAGGGGGGACCAAAAATTGGATTCTAGGACGGACCCGGCTAGATCAAGCTATCCTAACTTCTATATATAAATTTGGCTTCAAGTCTGTCTGTCTGTTTGTTTGTCTTTCTGTCTGTCTGTTTGTATCCAATAAACGTCAAAACGGCTGAACCGATCGGGCCAAAATTTTTTGTGGGACATCTAGGGACCCCAGGGAAGGTTTATGAATGATTGAAATTTTAAATATTTGTCTCCATCAAAATTCGATCGTCATTAAATTTTTGAAAGTTTTGAAAATCCGCGAAATTTTTTGTGAAAATCCGCGAATTATTTTTGTTTTGTTTTACGATGTACACAAAGAGAACATGTTCACAATTAACTTAGAAAATGGGCGCGAAACGCCCTCTATGGCTAGTAATCTATATATAAATTTGGCTTGTCTGTTTGTTTGTTTGTCTGTTTGTATCCAATAAACGTCAAAACGGCTGAACCGATCGGGCCCAAATTTTTTGTGGGACATCTAGGGACCCCAGGGAAGGTTTATGAATGATTGAAATTTTAAAAATTTGTGTTTTAGAGGTTTTTAATTTTGTAAAAAAAATTAGATTTTTGAAAATCCGCGAAATGTAAAAAAAAAAGAACATGTTCACAATTTAAATAGAAGATGGGCGCGAAGCGCCCTAAAAGCCTAGAAAGGAGGGCGCGAAGCGCCTTGAATTTCTAGTTTATAAAATACTTACTTGGTAATGCTTTCCAGCTCGAACCCTGTCTTGTCATTTTTTCATTGGAAGCCACTGCTAGTTGCAAATGCGTTGACAATATATAAGACATAATTTGTATTGCAGATTGATACAAAATGCCTGAAAGCAGTTGTGATGTTCTTGGCGTTGATGATATAGAAGATTTAATCGGATTAGAAGATGTTTCTCCCAGGGACCGATATATTAATAAACATGACGTGGTTCCAAAAGTACGAAAAAGGAAAACAAAAAAATCAGAATTTGATTTATCTCCATCTGACACTATTGAAGGTAACATAACATTTATTTATCCTATACAGTGAAAACCAGTAAAATATTCTGCTTCTTCAAACTTTTATTATACCTATAAAAAAACAATACTCGAAAAAAATCACATTAAGGTGATAAGGTTTTAGAAAAACATGGAATTTCTTCTTTTTTTTCAATTACAATAAACGTCGCTGAAGATATTTAAATTAAAATTGTATAAACGGATAAATGTTTAGAAATGTTTTTGAAGATATCGTGAAATACAAAATCCTTACCGACATCATATAATTAACAAACATTTGTCGACGAATTCCATTGTTTTCTTATTGTAGTCAATGGAAAGAAAAATTGTCATTATTTACTAAATCACAATAAGTGACTTTTCTTCGTATTTAGAGTCTGTGCCTGAAACGCGCGTTGAAAATATTGTGCCCGGTACAGCGCGAGTATTTGTCAACACTTGGGGGTGCGCACACAACAGTTCAGACAGCGAGTATATGGCCGGTCAACTTGCAGCCCAGGTAGTAATATAGAATTCTTGATATTTAATAGATTTAGTCTTGTTTCAATAAATAATATTCCAATATCTGAATATCTCCATGGTCGTGAAGAGCTTTCTGCAAAACCTTTTTTATCTAAACGTAATTTGATCTCAATATATATATATGTGCCTATTCTGTACTCATGCTTTTAAACCCAAACGTAGGTTTGAATAATCTAACCCTTAACTAACCGCACAAAATAAGTTTAATGATCCAAATTATATATATTTTTAAAAATATTTTTGAGTTTCTTAATACTTCAGCTAATTATTTCAGTTTATTTAAGAATTTTGTTTAACGAAATTAAAAATGGAAAATTCAATTTCTTTGTTCTGCTGATTTTTGATGAATTTATTTTTTTACTCCAGGGTTACACTATAACTGAGGACAAAGAAAGCGCTCAAGTCTGGCTCCTGAATTCCTGCACTGTGAAGAATCCTGCCGAGGAGCACTTCAAGAACGAGGTCAACAAGGGGCTCGGGGCTAACAAGAAGGTCGTCGTGGCTGGCTGTGTTCCCCAGGTCCGATTTTCTTAATTTTTCTCTTCGGTCTAACTATTGAAATGTTCCATTCTATGTACAATAACTGGTTAGTAAAACTGCGTCGGAAAAAGACCAAATCCCACTCAAAATGATTACGTCAAAAAACAAATAAATTTGTTTTGAAAGGCTCTTAATAAATGAGAAAAATAGACTCAAAAAAGGCCTTGAAACGCACATGTTAAAAAATGCATTAGAAAAAGACTAAATCTGTATTCCCAGGCTAGTAAAAAAGATAAAATCCGTAAAATCTTATTTTCAGGGAAAACAAAACTCTGAATATCTGGAAGGATTATCAATGATCGGTGTTCAGCAGATAGATAGAGTAGTAGAGGTCGTGGAGGAAGCATTAAAGGTAATACTCAAGCTTGTGAGAAAGAAATCCGGGAAATGTCTAACAAAATAATATTAGAATTTGTAAGTGGTATAATTGTGAACAATATACCCCGGCCATTGGGATAGGGGGCTAATGCCGAAGATTTGGAGGAACAAAATGAATAAAAAATTAACCTCAACTTACAAGTATTCCTTTTTTACTTCCTTTTTCAGTAAAAAGTATCAAATTCAGGGGGGGGGGCTTGCTAGCTGATTTACAGGTTTTCATTCTTATCTCTTTAATCATTACTCATAGCAAACCCCTGAACCAAGTGAAGAATAACAAATTAAAACAAGATGAAATCTTTCCCCCCCCCCTTTCTAGGGAAACTCAGTTCGTATGTTTGGAACTAAAAGATCTGGTGGAAAGAAGATGGGAGGAGCCAAGCTTGATCTTCCGAAGATACGGAGAAATCCTTTAGTTGAGATAATTGCCATTAATACAGGGACACAGGATAGGAACGATTTATAAAAAGGAAATTCCGATTGAAAAGCGTAAAAGATTGGAATTACTTTGATATACTTCTGATTTTAGAAAATTTAACTGAAAAAATGTCACTTCAACCCAAAAGTTTGATTTTGTCTTTTAGTAGGGAAAAGGACTGTACGCGTAATTTAAAGTGATTATCAATGCATAGATGACAATGCCCGATCTACACCATTACCCTTGAAACCTTTATTTTTATAAATAGTGGACGTGGACGATATTGTCGTTTTTTAGGTTTAAGAGTGTTTAATTCTGATAATTCCTAAAATATTATTCTGCAGTAGAAATGCGGAAGTCTTTTTTTTTGTAGAGAAACCACAATTAAAATAATAAGTTTAAGTTATACCCATTGATAAATAATTCATACTTAATCAGACAATCAGCTTTTAAAGTTATAGCTGTAGATCGGGCATTCCCATTGTTGCATGTCCCGGCATATAATCTGCATATCAAGGGTGTTAAATTTTTCTGAAACAATTTTACAGAAGCAAAAAAGTATTCTACTAGGAATATTATGACATGTTTATAAAATATATTTTTCACGAAAATCAAAAATGTGTCCCTAAAATGGACCATAATATTTAAAAAGTCACTTGTATAAATAAAAATGAAAATGTTGAAATACTTATTGAATTGGGTATCATTGGAACCGATTGAATTTCATAATTCAAATCAATTTACAGAATCGAAAAATATTGAAAGTTGACTGCGTAGGGTCTTAAATGACATTTTTTTAGTATTCTAATGAAATTTATTCAAAGAAAAAACTATTTTTAACCAGAATTTTCAATATTTTTCAATTCTGTAAATTGTTTTGAACTCCAGTTTTCAAGCTGGTTCAATGGAATACCCATATTATTAAGATTGGCAAATTTTTAATTTTTGCTAATACTAGTGATTTTTTAAATTTAAAAAAAAAATTAATAAAAATGCCTTAATATTCCTGGTAGAATACTTTTTTGCTTCTGTAAAATTGTTTCAGAAAATAGAATTCCGAGTGGAATACTATTTTGCTTCTGTAAAATAATTTTAAAAAAGTTTCACTAGATTTCACACCCCTAATGCATATCCCTACCCAACTGAAATAAAAAAGTTTCTCTCTTTTTCTTATTCTTCTGAGTCTAAAGGATGCTTGAACCAGTGTACATACTGTAAAACTAAACATGCTCGAGGAGAACTAGGCAGTTATCCTTCAGAGGAAATCGTAGCCAGGTCAGTCAATAAAGCTGCAAATGAAAAATTGTAATGAAAAATTTAGATGAATTTAATTGATAACAGTTTAGATGGAACTGATGAATGATCTTAATTGTCACGAATTTGATCAATTATCACAGTTTTAATTGCATGCACTTCATCTTTTTTTTTAATATTCTCTTTTGTCTTTTTCAAACTTAACGAACTGATATATTTTCAGAGCTGTTCAGAGTTTTGAAGAAGGAGTTTGTGAGATTTGGTTAACCTCGGAGGATACAGGAGCTTACGGCAGGTCAAACTTCTCAACAATATTTTAAAAGATTTTTGAACTTTCCCTCAAACATTAAGTTTTTTTCTTTATTTATGATAAGTGGCGATTTTTCAATGTTGTATATTTTCTTGAAAGGGGGGGGGGGCACGAAACGTATTACTCTCTGGAAAATTTAAACAGTGTTTAAACATAACTTAGAATTGTCCTAGGAGGCTGATTTTTTGCATGCAAACTCGGAATTATGTATATTACATGCATTTTTTTGGTTTTGAAGGAATCTGAGCAAAAGTGCGCGCGCGCGCTTTTTGTGAAAAATTCAACTTTTTTGACAGTAAATCTAACTTCATTAATTGCACTTGAACATTATTCCTGACACTCTTGAAACAAATATGCGCTAAAAAAAATCACCTCAAAAGGCTTAATTGTCCGCGCTCGCGCGCAATAAAAAATACTTATGTGCTATGTTTGGCCTAAGTTAGAATAACAGTTGCATGAGATAAATCATACTATAGCAAAATTGGGAACAAGGACTTGATTTCTGAGGTCAAAATAGACATTGGAGCATTCTGACCGGCGAGCTAGTAGCCAACCATTACGTTATGGGTCATCTTAGTACATTTTTTACATTTTGTATGTCGATTAACAGGTAATTTGGCATGAGGAATTCATTTCATTTTTTCACAAAAAGCGCGCGCGCGCACTTTTGCTCAAATTCCTTCAAACCCAAAAAATACATGTAATTTACATAATTCTGAGTTTGCATGCATAAAATCAGCCTCCTACAAATGTACACATTACATACACATACATATGTTCCTCGGCTTTGCTTATGAAATTTACTTGAATTTAATTTGTCAGGGATATTGGAACCTCACTTCCGGAACTTCTTTGGCAACTTGTTGATGTCATTCCAGAGGGTTGCAGGCTTAGACTAGGTAAAACTTAATCGTTCATCTAAATAATAATTGTCTTATTTTCGATCAACTTCGGACCTAGCGTTAAGAAATGTTGTGGATCACAAGTCCTTCAAAAGCAAATATTTTCATATTTTTTATACAATTTGAAGTAAAATAAAACTTTGTCAATCTGGAGGCCGGTCCTTCACACTTAGTTTCATTGAAACATGTGCCAGTGACGCCCTGCCCACCATTAAGGTGGTGCGGTTAGATGAGAGCTTAAACCACGGGATGATGGTTGACCGCTTTATTTATTTATTTATAAATCTAATTGCTCAATATTCTAGGTATGACAAATCCGCCGTATATTTTGGATCATCTGGAAGAAATGGCAAAAATTTTGAACCATGACAGGGTTTATTCTTTTCTTCATGTTCCAGTTCAAGTGAGTGTCTTTTCATCAAATTGTTTGTCTACTAATCTATCTGTTTGTCTACAAATCTATCATATTGTCTACTAATCTATCAATTTGTCTACTAATCTATCTGTTTGTCTGCTAATATAGCTGTCTGTCTAGAAATCTATCATATTGTCTACTAATCTATCTGTTTGTCTGCTAATATAGCTGTCTGTCTAGAAATCTATCATATTGTCTACGAATCTATCTGTTTGTCTGCTAATATAACTGTCTGTCTAGAAATCTATCATACTGTCTACTAATCTATCTGTTTGTCTGCTAATCTATATGTCTACTATTTTGTCTGTCTTTTATCTTGTAGTATTTTAATATGTTTGTAAGCAAATGTATCCATCTCCTTATCTATCTGACTAGTTATCTGACTATAATCGTCTACTTTGTAATCTATTTGTATACTAATCTGTCGGTCCACTCATCTATCGGGTTTCTTATTTAAATCTAGTTTTCTAATCTGTCTGTTTATTATTATATCTATCAAGAAATATTTATTTCTACTGATTTGCTAATCTACTTTGTATTGTATTTTGTATACTACTTATCAAGATAATTGAATTAAGAGATATGCCCGACTTTGCAGGTTTTGGTAGAACCACTTTAAATCCAAAAAAACTTGTACGTTTTGAAAACGGATTGCAAACAATGTTTAACACTACCTCCCATCTATCAGTGCTTAGGATCCGGATCCGTTGGATCCGGAAGATTTTGGCTTCCTGGATCCGGATCCGGAAAAATATACGGATCCAAGGGGTAAAATATCAACCAAAAACTGCAAAAAAAAAGTATGTTTTTTACTTCTAAAACCCAAATCTAAATTTTTGAAAAAAGAGAGATTATAAGAATTTCCTCATTTCTGAATGGTTCATCAAGTTTTAGGATTAAAGTAAGCGAAAAAAAATAAAACTAAAAATTTGAAAATTATTTGTTAAAGATATTCAGTAAATCTTAAAAAAAATGACTTGGATCCGGATCCGCATCAAAATTAAATAGATCCTAAGCACTGCCATCTATAGTGCACTTTTTATGTTTACATTTTCTATTGTACACTGTACAGGCAGGGTCCGATGCTGTTCTATTAGATATGAAACGAGAGTACACCGTTGCACAGGTTTCTATAATTTATTTAACAATATTTTAAATCAATAGTGAATTTTGTTCTCTAATTTTAATACGTGTCAAGTTGAAAATAAATTTGAATAAGTAGATTAGATAACTTTTTGCTTCTTCGAAATTGACTTAATGTTTATTTTTCAAGCTTCATAAAAACTTTTAACCTATTTTTCGTCTCTGAAATTTATATATTTCAATAAAAAAAAAATGATTTAGTTTAGTGAAGTGGTGGACTACCTTAAAGCCCGAGTTCCTGGTATAACAATAATAACTGATATAATTTGCGGATTTCCCACAGAAACTTTTGAAGATTTTCAGGTATGTCCCATTTTTTTACGGAAGTTTTTTAATCTGAATTTTCAACTATTGTTACGATCCTGTTAGTTTGCATGTCCGATTATAAATCATAAACCCTTGGACTGATTTGCCTCAAATTTTGTTTGGAAACTTGGAAGAACCACGGGAATGTTCTAAATTTGGTTTTGAGATTCTAAGTTGAGTGGGTCGACTTTTTAGGAAAAAATAGCTAAAATCGTAATTTAAGACCAAGCGAGGGTAAACGGCTCGAGTAACTTGGGCAACACTGAGTTCCCAAGCTATTTTTTTAAATATAATTTTTAAGAAAATTACTAAGTTCTTAACTGTTTTTACGAAATCGATTTTGAAAAATATCCTAAATATTTTGTTAGATAAGAATGAGAATATTCCATTTTATTTATTTTTTTATTATTTAGGAAACTATGGATTTAGTGAAGAAGTATCGATTCCCTAGTCTTTTCATTAATCAATTTTTCCCAAGGTATTATATATTTTATATGATATTTAACATTGCTTCACGGGGTTTTATATCCTGCATTGAAGAGATAAATAATAAATATATACTTGTCTCACTTACTTTGTCGCTTTTTATGTAAAATGTAAATTTTATTGTAATCTTTTTTTAATTTACTAGTCTCTAAAAGTCAATATTTTTTAAGGAATTGAACCAAACCAAAAGTCTGAATTATTTTGATATTATTTGATATTATTTGATCTTTAATAAATGGAGGGCTCTATATTAGAGGAAGTAAAACGTTTAATTATCTTAGACCTGGAACTCCGGCAGCTAAAATGAAAAGAATTCCAACACAGGTATTTTATCAAACTTAAATCTTCATATACCAGATTTACTCCTTCATACCAGACTTGCCCCTTCGTATCAGACCTATCCCTTCATAAAAGACATGTTCCTTCGTATCATACCTTTTACTTCATACCCGACTTATTCCTTCATACCAGCTTTATACTTTTATACCAGGCTTATTCGTTCATACCAGACCTATCCCTTCACACCAGACTTATCCCTTTATACTATAGTTGTCCTTTCATACCAAACTTGTTCCTTTATACCAGACTTGCCCCTTTGTATCAAACCTTTCCCTTCATACAAGACTTGCCTCTTCGTATCATACTTATCTCTTCATACCAGACTTGTCCCTTCATACCAGACTTTTTTCTTCATACCAGACTTGTCCCTTCATACAAATCTTGACCCTTCATTATGATCTTGGCCCTTCATACCAATCTTGGCCCTCTATACCTGACGCGTCCTTTCGTGCCAGACTTGTACGTTTATCAGACTTGTTCCTTCATACCAGAATTATCCCATCTCACACATGATTGACCAGTAAAACTACACAAATCAATAAATTAGAAAAAATTAATGTGTCCAAAAAATGATTTAGTAACTGGTAGCATATCATATTCTCATAGTTATATGAGATCCAGGGGGTGCCGGAGCTCAAAGGTGCTAACCTCGATGGCGGTCTGGGCTCTCCAAGATGGGGAGGGGTTTCAGATCCTTCACTTATCTTCTTAACTTATCTTACCTTAAGGCTAAAGGGGATGAAGCAATCTTTACCCTATTTGATTTTTTCTTTGAGGGGATGAAGTCTCATGACTACAACTACCATAGCTGGCTGGAATGACTGAAATGAACCTGTTTTTAATGTTTCAGAATGTAAAAGCTCGTACTAAAGAGCTGAGTGAATATTTCAATTCGTATTCTCTCTACAAGGATAGAATAGGACAAATATATAGGTAGAAATTTTCTATAGCTTTGTTAATGATGGATGAATGAATAAACTAATAAATGAATTCATTGATGATTGACAAGATGCCTGAACCAATATTAAAAAGGATGATTGAATGAATGAATGAATGAATGAATGAATGAATGAATGAATGAATGAATGAATGAAAGGATGAATGAAAGGATGAAAGAAAGGATGAAAGGATGAATGAATGGATGGATGAATAGATGATTGATTGATTGATTGATTGATTGATTGATTGATTGATTGATTTATTGATTGATTGGTTGAATGAATGAATGAATGAATGAATGAATGAAAGGATGAATGAATGAATGAATGAATGAATGAATGAATGAATGAAAGGATGAAAGGATGAATGAAAGGATGAATGAATGAATGAATGAATGAATGAATGAATGAATGAAAGGATGAATGAATGAATGAATGAATGAATGAAAAAATGAAAAAATGAAAAGAGGAAAAAATGAACGAATTAAAGGATGAAAGGATGATTGAATGAATGAATGAATGAATGCATATTATAGTGTACTGGTGACTGAAACTAGCCATGATGGAAACTATTATGTCGGACATAATGAATTCTATGAGCAGGAAAACAACTTTTAAAAATAGATCTTTTGTTTATTTAAATGGTTTTATTTAACATACAATCTTACGTTTTACTTTTGTTATTACCCCTAGGTCGTCAGGTCTACATAAAAGAAAACTTATTTAAAATATTTTCCTATTTTGATTTCTAAATGAGATGTGAGAAAATTATTTGCTAAAAAATTGTTTTTATAAAGGTTTTAGTTCCTAAACTACCAGAACTTATGGGCAAAATGTTTAAGGTAAGATTTAAGAAGTTTTTTTTTTAAATTCCTTTCCTCAATTATGTTGAAAATTATAAAAGAGGATTTAAAGCACTTAATTCAAGCGTTTTGATTAAACTAATAAGTTGTTGAGAAAAAGTGCCCAATGTCTAAAAAAGGTTAAAACAAAACAAAAAACTTCCAAAAAAAGTGAAATTTTTTATTTTTGTTAATATTATAGCTTATAGTAATAACTACAAAAGATGAAATAAAATCCTTCTAAAATTAACTTTGTGTTTTTTAATTGCTAATGCTCGGACAAATAATTGTTACTTTTCTTGCAAGTTGTATCTGTGTACTTTAAAAAATTAATCCCCCCCTTCTTTTTATATCCTTTTTTCCAAAAATTCATTTATTTCCCCCTTCATCAGCAGTAAAAAAAAGCTTAAAAGATCTTAAAATTCTAGATGGGGTTATTTTCAACAAAATCTATGCACTCCTCTGTTTTTAGGTTCGAATAGTTGACACCTGTAAGTTTTCTATGACCGGAGAACTTGTGGAAGACACCGAGGAAAAACTTGTCTTATTTTGATTCCACAATTCCATTCATTGGATCCTTTTCTCCTTTCGAATTAAAGAATTGTCGTTAAAGACAAGCGTTTGCAATAATAATTATATAATACTAAGCATTTAGTCTAGGTAAAATGAATTTGTTATGTTATAAATTTTTTTGTTTGCCAAGAAAACGCAAATGTTATCACGTAAAATTTTTTCTTTATTCTAATATTGACAAGATCTGTGCCAGGTGGTCAGACCAGCTCCCTCAGCTCCTCTGTTAAAGGGTCAGGTGTCCGGTGTCCAGGTTGACCCCCAGCTCAACTCTAGATTTGACCAGCCTTCTTCACAATCCTTCCTACACACCTGTATCATTTTCCTTCTCATCGCATTGGTTTTGCGATTTATTCAACATTTTGGATTTCCATTATTTTGAAAACTGAAAGTTTGGTTTTGAATTTTGTTTGATTTTCTTTAATTTTCAGAAAAATGCGTTCAACGCCGATTTAGTCAGAATAAAAAAAATAGGCTGAACAAATATGAATTATTTCGTAATAATTATATCTTTGATCCTGGTTTTGCATCCAACGGGAGGAGAAACTAACGATGAACGATGCAGCTGCAAGTAAATTTTTTTCTGAATTTTATTTGAAACATTAATGAAGTTACATCTTAACAACGAAACATTGCTTTGTCAATGGTCTGTGATTAGTCGAATTTTAATATTCCAGATTTGTTAAAGATTTACTTAGGCCAATGAAAGGGATAAATTGAAGAGGCGTAGTTAAGAAAGCCCCCCCTCCCTTAGAAATAACTTGGAATTGCATCTACAGTTCCCGTCCCAACTACATTGGGGTAGGATGGGGGGGGGGGGGCTGTTCAATGTTTTCAAACGGTAAAATTTTTTATGATATTTTTAGATGTTTGATCATCCCTTCCTGCAGTGCTTAGGATTCATTTAATTTTCATAATCTCCCTTTTTTCAAAAGTTCAGATATGGATTTTAGGAGAAAATTTTTTTTTTGCAGTTTTTGGTTGATTTTTTACCCTTTGGATTCGGATCCGTGGATCCGCATATTGTTGCGGATCCGGATCCAGGAAGCAAAATCTTGCGGAGCCAACGGATCCGGATCCTAAGCACTGCCTACCTATCTTTTAATTTTGTCAGATGTTTTCAAGAAAACATCTGTTACTGACATACTTATTTCATTAGTTGTTTTAATAGAGTTTAAAGTAGGCGTTGTGTTGTTCATATATTAATTGATCAATAGAATTATACTTAGTTTATTCTGATGTGATTGTTTGAAAAAATGATGAAGATTGTATGTAGGGGTAAGGAAGATCTTAGATCAATTGATTTATCCATTAGGAGCATTTTATGCAAAAATAACTGATGGTTTCACTGAACTTAAGCGTTTTACAAACTCGCCTTGTTGTGGTGATTTATCAGTAGGTTGGTCGGTTGGATGGGTGGTTGGTTCATTGTTAAGTTGATTGATTGATTGATTTCTTGTTTCTTGTCAAGATGCCCTGAAGTGTACTGGGTGGATGCAGATATTGAGACTGATTTCCCAGAGAGAAAGCTGTACATAAATAGTTCTGTACGTGCTGTAGACTGTGATTGTGAACATGTTGTACAGCCCGTACTTAATTTATCTCAGGAACAGGTATGACTAAAAGACCTTTTACAACAACAACAGCAACAGCAATTTATTTAGTTTTCTACTTTTCTTAGTATTTTCAACTTAAAAATTTAGACATAAGTTGTATTTGTATCAATTTTAAAAATTTATGTATTTTTGGGTTAATGGCCTAATTATTGTAATAATTATAAAATTTTGAAGTATAAAAAAAGAGTTAAGGAACTTTAAATATTTGTTTCATGCATGATTGATAGTACCTAAAATTGTGGATTAAAATAGTAGTATTCCCGTTCTTCGTAAGTTCGTAAAAAGGAAAAAATCTTGATTCTTGAACCGGGCTGAAGCAATTGAGCCTCCAATCTGAATTATGGAGCCCAAATCAATATCTAAACTTCGTTTTTTATAACTTTAATTCTAGGTGGAGAAACTGTGTCCAAGATGTAGATGCTCTCATGAACAAAGATCAACTACAACTATAAAGATAGTTGTTATTATTATCCTATGGATCTTGGTTTCGCTATCTGTTTACCTTCTTTACCTTGTTTTCGTAGAACCTATACTCAAGGGGAAACCTATACAGGTAGAAAATATATCATTTAAAGCAATTTGTGCCATTATCGATTTACATGTAATTTGCGTTTGTTGTGAAGAAATCCCAGCTGTCTGTCTGTAGAACTCCACAAGTTGTTTTCTATTATTGCCGCGGTCTACGGGGGTGTAATTCTGAAAAACATACACCCCTGTTTCGTTATTTGGATTTTTTCCTGATTTCAGGAAGTTTCCAGCCAACAAACTTTGTAAAGCAGCTTTTTTAACCGATTAAATAAAATTAAGTTCTAAATATATATAAAAAAACTGATTTTAAACTATAGAAGGATAAAAAATACTTGCGTATTTCGCGATTTTGATAATGCTTTTAGAAACCCTTCCCAACATTTTAGATAAAAAAGTTCCAGTTGTATTACAGAGATTCGCCTTTTCATTTGTTTTGAAATGGAACCCATTAATCCGAGTTGATATGAATATAATCCCTGATAAGATTTATCCATTACAGGTTCTTCGATCCCCTAGCGCTCCCTATCAACCCCAGGACGATGAGGGGTCTCTGGACAACGACAACGTCGGAAACAGCACCCCCATGAGGGCATACAGGGGGCCGGGGGGCGTGGTGAATAGGCTAGGGCGGGAACAGGACCGATGGAAGAGGCAGCTTGAGATACAGAGATACAGTGTTTATGATCGACACACCATGTTACACCCTTGGAAATACGTTTTCAGCATTCAACACTTTCAAAAAAGGAAAATGACCAAAAAATTCTCATTTTTACTAAAATATAGGTTAAACAGGTAATGTTGTGAATTGGAAATTCCACTCTTTAATATAATCCTTAAAATTACGTTAGCAGTCACTTTATTATATATTGTTCTCCATTTATACATTACATATATTGTTATTATATTAAATTAAAGCATGTGATTATAGTTAGTTTTAAAATAGTTCACTTGAGGGGGATTATATGTGATTTTTATCTCTCTCACTTCACCTTCCTTTAATCAAGTGCTAGAGCATTAAATGGAATAAATTAGAAATCTCATCCTCATCAAGAACCGATACTTTCACTTCATTGAAAAGGCAACTATATATTCAATTCATTGAAAAGGCAACTATATATATATATATTTATGATTATGATTAGAGTATTAAGGTTGAGTCTCGTATTTAAAATTTTACAGTACATAAATCGTATTTAGCAAATTAAAAATGTGGCAAATAGTCCATTGTTAAGATATTAAGGAAGGATTAGAACAATAATGTAAACCTTTTTCAATCAGTCTTTTGTTAGTTATTGCAACATTTTTCAAATTATGAAACGTCACAAAACTCAGATACATAAATACTTTATTATACTTTTTGAACGATAGTTAAATTTTTAAAAAATAAATTTTCCATCGTAATCATTTTTAAATTCAATGTTATGGATAAATTTAATTCCTAGTTTCATATTTTATATTCAATGCAAAAATTTTCCAGAGTTGAGCAGAACAAAATGGCGGTGGTGAAAGCCGTAATTCTTATTGCGGGCCCACAGAAAGGGACAAGGTTATAATTCAAATCAAAATCAAATTAAATATTAAAAAAACAATCAAATTTTTTGTAATTATCGAAAGCGGCTTTTTTATTGGTTGAATTCTGGAATGAAGTTAATGGACAAGGATAAATATGACAATTTTACAGAGAGATCTTTTATTTTCCAGGTTTCGTCCATTATCCCTTGATGTGCCCAAACCTTTGTTTCCTGTTGCTGGTATACCAATACTTCAACACCATATTGAAGCTTGTGCCAGGTCAGTTTACCGGTATTTAAGATGCTCTGTTTTTTTTAATAAGATACATCAAAGAAATAAACGTTCAATCAATCAATCAAAGTCAGTTTCTCATTCAACAAACATAAATTTTAGAATACGAGTTTGGGACTGGTTTTCAAATTGGCATTTAATTTTAAGAGTGCTATAAAAAATCCCATAGTTTGTTATGTAATTTGATCAGGAAAAGACAAAAAAAAATCTTTTGTTTTTTAAATCTTATTTAAAAATTAGTTTAATTCTTTTATTGAATTAATATTAGAATTCTATATTTTCGCCCCGATGTGCACTGTAAATATGCACATATTTTAGTGTTCCTGAGATAAAGGAGATCCTGGTTCTAGGGTTCTAACCTGCTCATGATCCTTCATCTTGTTTATATTGTTTAGTGTTCCGGAGATCAAGGAGATACTGGTTCTAGGGTTCTATCCTGCTCATGAGCTCTCCACCTTTATCCAGGAGATGTCAGAGATCCACTCCTCCACTTCCATCAGATACCTACAGGAATATATACATAACGAATATTATACAATTTAAATTCGAAATCTGAAAAACGAATATTATACAATTTAAATTCGAAATCTGAAATTCTTGAAAACGCCAACGTTGCTAATTTCTCGCATGAAACCTTCATTTGCTAATCCTTATATTTTTGCCACCTGATTTTGTAAACCTTTGAGTTTTCTAACTATGCTATTTGAAGGTCTACGCAAAAGGTTTCTGCAATATAAGAGTTAGGAACTAAGAGCTTGTGACTAAATTTCATTTTCTGATTGGTTGGATAATTTGCATTTCTTATTAACTTTCGAGATCTATCATAACAATTCTTGGTATTGTTTTTTTTTTCATAACCTTGGGTGTAAAATGGATGTCTAATTTACTTCATTTTTTTTTACATCGTTTGCATTCCAATCTGATCTTTTTTTTCCTCAACGCTAAAATTCTTAACTTTTCTAACAAATGAAGAGAAAAAAATTATTATTTTACAGAAAATATATTCCTCTTTACATTTGGTTCCCTTTGGGGCCTAAATTTTGACATTTTCAAGTATTTTTTATGTATAATTATCATGTTGTTCATGATATATAATGTTAGGAGTATTCTCCCTTGGGAACAGCTGGAGGAATATATCATTTCAGAGATCAGATCAGAGCTGGTAATCCAGACGCTTTCTTCGTCATGAATGGAGATGTTTGCGCGGACTTTCCATTGAAGGTAGAATATATTTATTTGTTTACTTTTCAGTACGTTTTTAGTCGTGTTTCCATTCATGTGCTCATCATTAAAATCATTCATTTATGCATGCATTCATTTATTATGTATTCATCTTTTTCATTCTTTTCTTCATTTATTTATCTGTTCATTCATTCATGCATTCATCCTGTCATTCATAGTTTCAATATTCATCTCGAGTTTAATATGAGGATAGTAGGAAGTCCCTAAAACCCTGCTTGAATGATTGATAGAGATTCGTTTTTAATAATTTAGACTTAATTCATTCATGATTTGAATGCATTCATTTATCTATTTACATTTTTTATTAATTAAAACAGACTAATTCATTTATTAATGCATTATTCAAACTTCAACCAGCCTTGCTTTCATATATTCATTCTAGCAAACTTTAATATTTTTTTTGTTTTTCAATTCATGCATTCATGCTTTTATTATTGTTTTTTTTAGTTCCTAATGAAAGATCACTTTAATTTACTTTCAAAGTCCCTTTACTATTGTAACTTTCTTGAGTTAATTTCCATTTCTCTTGTTACCATACTTTCTCTACACTGGTTGGTATTGACAGAACCTGTCAGTATCTGGAAAGTGTGTTGCTGGTTTTAAGGCAACCTGCCTTTTAACTTGACTCTTGCCTAGCCCTCCACAATGTGCCAGTGACGCCATGCCAACCATAATAGTGGTGCGGTTAGATAAGAGCTTAACCCTGATTTTTATGGATGGATGGTTGATCATTATATTTATTTATTTTGTTCAGCCGATGCTTGAGTTCCACCAAGGGAAGGTTGACTGTATTGCTACAATGATGGGAACTGAAGCTACACGACAACAATCGGTTAATTTTGGTTGTATTGTAGAGGATAAGAATACACATAGGAAAACAAACATTCGGTGAACAGGGAGGAAAATAGGTTCATTTTGGTCAATTTTGGTTTTTTTCCACTAATTTTGATTAATTTTGATTGTATTGTAGAGGATAAGAATATGCACAGAAAAACAAACTTTTCAAAGGAAAGTGTTTGTTGATTTTGGTTAATTTTGATTTTTAATCTTGTTTGATTTGTATTGTAAAGGATTAAATATGCTGCAACACGTACACATCTTTTTTACATTTTTATTTTTTACTTTTTATTTATAACAATATTTTTTAAATAGTGATATGATAGCAGATGCAAATATTTTTACATTTCTATATTTCTTGTTCTAAAAGCTGAAAGGTAGGAAATGAAGCCTTTATTTGATGGAGTTTGTAAATGCCAGAAATGAGTGGAAAATCGGGGGTTAATTTTTAAAAATGTAAGTCACTTTGGTATGTGTTACTTTATTTGACCAAACTTTATAAAGATTGGTCATGATTTTTTTGTGAATAACAATGCCAATTATGAATAAATGTTTGTTTGGTTAACAGTATTCTTCACTATGTGGAAAAGCCTGAAACCTATGTGTCTACCTTGATCAACTGCGGAGTGTATATATTCTCGCAGCAGATTTTTCAAATGCTACAGGTACCATATATAAATTAGTAATCCCTGTCTGTCTGTCTCTGTTTTGTTTGGATATCTCAGGAATCCCGTGACCGATTTGCCTCAAACTTTGGTTGGGAGCTCTGTAGAATCAAGGGGATTTTTTAAAACTTGGTTTTGAATTTCTAAACTGAGTGGATTGACTTTTGTAAAGAAAGTTTAGTTTCCAGGCAACGCTGGGTTCCCAAGCTAGTAGTAATTTCTAGTTATTTAATATACGTGACGTTTAAGCTGTAATCTAATAGTCCAAATTAGTATTAGTGTTCATTTTAAAAAAATTTCTTTCCCGGTAACCTCGGTCTGACCTAAATGTTTTCAAACCTAGATCTTGAATTAGGTTTAGGATACCCTTTAAATCGGTTTCCGTTAGTTCAGGTTCCAAAAATAATCATGATTAAAAGACATTTTTTTCAGACAATATTTCAAGCAAAGCAGACGGAGTTTTACTCGGGCCTTGATGGGAAGAAGGACGCCGTGTTTGAAAAGGACGGACGGGACGCAATCTGGCTGGAGAAGGACGTTATGGTCCCGTTAGCGGGGACTAATACGTCCTATGTGTACTTGGTGAGAATAAATTGACTAGATTGGCCTGTCATATATTTAGAATTACCTCGCCAAGGCCGAGGAGAACATTTTGTTTAGGATAGTGCTTACCCTAGCAAGTGAACTCCTGTACGATGCAAACTCTACACTAAAATGCACTTTGCAATTTATACACTGCACACTGCACTTTGCATATGATGCTCTTTTTTCAATAATACCCGGCCTTTCATTTGAATTTTGTTTAATACCCTTTAATTTCATTTTTTCATTATACTCTTATATTTCGTTTTCATAACAAACCTAAACTTCAGTGGTTAATATAATTCACATATGTTATAACCCCCTAGTAAGATTTTTTTTTTTACATTTTTACTTCAATGGATATGGGTACCATTAAACTTATTTTGCCCATCAACGGCATTTTTATGTCTCTTAACATATTTGACGTACCTATTGAATCCTGTAAACATTCAAGTCGGATATGATTCACTAACCCAAGCTGACTTTGTAGAGTGGCGAGTAGCTTAACCCTGGACGGTGTCGTATCGTTTGCACTAATGATTGATCGGACTAATTTACATTTGCACTAACGTTCATTCGGACTAACCTTTTATTTGAGGGTTAGGTTAGGACAATTTCTGGGCCAAGCGCTGCGGCTAGGACAGGCTAGGGGGCCGGGCGCTGCGGTCACAAGTGTTACTGATCAGATGACTTTAATTGCAAAAGTACGTTAGTTCAATCGGACATTAGTGCAAACGAAATAGCATCCGCTGGACCTCAACGTGACAAAGCCTACAGGACATGATAAATTGACTATTATAGGTTGAATTATAATAATTATAATAATTCTGCACACGGTAATGGTATAACAAAGGTGGATATAGGGGTGAAAATTGAAGCAATGGCCCACCCCTGCTTCCCCCATTAGGGTGGAGCTACAGAAAATGGAGAGAAAAAAAAACCTTGTAAATTCCTGTATCCCTCAATGTGGTAAGGGTTTAGAGTTTGTAATAAAAATCCACAAGTTGTATTTTTGACCCTTCAATGTTAATTTCTACCTGGAAAAAAGTGATGTTAGAAAATGCGGTAAATTCTGCAAGTAAAAGATCACTTAAGATTATAATTTAAAATTACTGTTTAGACCAACAATTGGTGGAGTCAGGTGAAAACTGCTGGAAGCGCTATCTATGCTAACCGGCATTACTTAAACTTGTATAGAAATAACTATGTAGGAAGGCTGGCTCAGGTTAGTTAATGTCGTCGTTTATTTTTAGTGTAATTTTTTGTTCCTTTTTTGTAGAGAGAAGGAAAAGTGACGGAATGTCATAGTAAAAGTTCATAAAAATGTTTCCTTTTTTATATTTTACATACTTGTTATATGTCATGTTTTCTTATATATACCCTGGGCCCAAATTTAATGAATTTGAGGGATTGCTGAACTGCATGTCTCCAGTTCAAATTTGAATCACCGATTTTTCTTCTAATTTTACTAATTTTCTAATCTAATGGCATATTTCTTGTATTTTTTATTTTTTTTTAAGGATAGAAAAAAAGGTCCGACAATTATCGGGGATGTTTTTATTCATTCTACAGCTAAAGTAGATCCATCTGCAGTAATAGGTTGGTTTTTTATTGCTACCTTTTTTCAGAACTAAAGAATGTTTGAATTCTCCTGTTAATTATGACTCTTGTAGGTTGGAGTAATAATGAAGGGGACTGGAGTAAGGTAGAAAAGTACTCAAATAAGTGTACCTCTTGTATTAGGTTGGAGTAGTATAGTAGAGGACTGGAGTAAGGTTGGTAGAAAAGTACACCAATAACTTTACCTCTTGTGTTTGGTTGGAGTAGTATAGTAGTGGACTGGAGTAGGGTAGAAGGTACTCCTACTAACTCTAACCCTTGTATTAGGTTGGAGTAGTATAGTAGGGGACTGGAGTAGGGTAGAAGGTACTCCTACTAATTCTAACCCTTGTATTAGGTAGGAGTAGTATAGTAGGGGACTGGAGTAGGGTAGAAGGTACTCCTACTAACTCTAATCCTTGTATTAGGCTGAAGTAGGGTAGAAGGTACTCCTACTAACTTTACCTCTTGTATTAGGTTGGAGTAGTATAGTAGGGGACTGGAGTAGGGTAGAGGGTACTCCTGATGATCCAAACCCAAACAAACCTTTCGCAAAAATAGAAAACAATCCTCTGTTCAACAGTGCAGGTTTATACTATCTCTATAATAAAACCAAACATTCATATATATGTTCCCTCTGGCCGGCCAAACTGCTGGACCGAATCCTAATATTGCTTCTCAATAATTTTATAATTTTAGGTCAAATGAATCCTTCCATAACGATCCTCGGAGGTCACGTAATAGTTCCTTCGGAGGTTATTATCCTCAACTCTATAGTTTTACCACACAAGGAACCACAACTTTACCGTCTTTACCGTGGATTCCCAAAAATCGTCCAAAGCTTGGCAAAAAAATTGTTTTTCCCGCCAGGAAATATTATCTGCAAGGGATAATAAACTATCGCTTATTTATCAAAAGTTCATTAGGTGTCAGATCACCCTTTTTAATTTTTACAAAGAGTTTTATCTCTTTCGTCTACATATTTATGGCGTTAAGTTTAAGTTCATTTTGTTGAAAATTTATGTCTCTGGTCTCTGTCTCTGGTCAATGGTCGTGATGTTTTGGAGTTTTCAGCTGGGACCAGAATTAATAATCAAAAAGAACTGTAGTGCAGAGAAGTATACAAGTACAAGTCATTAGCGAGAAATGATTTAATTACGTAGACATAACTTCTCTGTAACTTGATCTGGAACAAAATATAAGAGGTTGAACTACGTCTGCTCGCTTTTCATTAAACCTGGTTCCTAAGCTTTTTAAAATAAGTTTTTTTTTCAAGTTGTGTGAATTGCAGGAGTTAAGTGGCAGCTACAAGAACCAAATAATTCTGTGATTTATACACTATTTATGTTGAATTGGCTGGGTTTTTTGAATTCACTGTTTTCGGCACTGTTGTTTCCTATGGTACAAACCAAAAAAAAAATTTGAAAGTTTTATTTTTAGAAATTTTAAGATTTATTATTTATATTTTGCACTCGTATGTTTTGTTCAAATAGGTTTCTATTTTCAGATAGAAAATGTCCCTTGGGCAGAATCCTTCTGATGTTGAAAAAAATACTAACGAACCCTACTTGGAGGCTGAAGAGATCGGCCTCGAGGTTCAAGAACCCAAGAAAGAAGAGGCTGTAATCCAACCTGAATTCGACAAGGCTGACCTCGAGGCCGAGATTCAGGAACTGAGGGACGAAAATCTTTATCTCTCTCAGGAATTCATTAAAAACAAACTAACTTTAAATCTTTATTGGACAAATGATATTTTTAAAGATTGAACTTTTTTTTTAACAAAAGCGATGAAAGTTTTGTCTAGGTCTATTACCAGATTGACAGAACACAAAAGCATTGAAAACTGACTTTTAAAACCCTATTATAGTTAGCCTATTCTCCTAATAACTATGCGTCCTTGTCATGTGGATAAATTTAGCGAAAGATTAAATTTCAAATTCGTGGGAAGCTCTAATTGTATTATACTAGTTCCACTATTTTGTTTCCGATTGAACAACTCTAATTTTTTCCAGAAAAAAAAGAGTTTAGATTAGTCTGCAAGTCTTCTCAGTTTACATTTCTTGTCATTTTGAAATATTAACTAAACCCCTCCCCCCCCCTTATTTCTGCAATGTTGTTTTTAATGTTTTGAACCACAGAATAATGATGTTATGAAGAGCTTGAAGAAAGAGAACAAGAGGTTAAGGAAAATTATCCGCCTGAGCAAGAAGGACGCGGAGCGGAAACAGAAGAAGAGAGAAGAGAAACATTCAGAAAAGAGAAAGGATGAAATCGAAGAAATACTGAAGGTAAAAACGTTTAAAATAAATTATTCAATTTTAAATGAGCAGTGTTCATATACTGTTAATGTGAAGGAAAAACTCCGAGAGCATATATATGTTCCGTAGAAAATTTCAGAAGGAGTGGGGGGACATTTAAAGAGGGGGTTATGCTCTTGAAAAATCATTTGTATTTCCCGACCACTTTTTTTAAATGTTTTCTGATATGTATGTTTTTTAAGAGATTTTTTTTGCAGAACTGGGAAAAAATTATAAATTTTCGGACAAACAAGATGAAAGAACTGTCCATCTTTTCATTTTTTTCCCAGAGCGTTAAAAATCTTTTTTTCTTGAAAATATATTCCTCTAGATGTTTCCCCTATTTAACTATTTTTATCTAGGAATTGGTGGACAAGAAGCTAGAAGAGGTTAGGAAGAAGATTGCAGAATTAGAGGAGGTGACAATTATTAAATATTTTTATTTTAAATTGGGAGGTTGGGGGCAGGATATCTTTAGAAGTTTATGACATCCCTACCCCGTTTCTTCAGAATCGGGCGAATACAAACAAAAGATCCTCTTTGCGTATTTGCCTGGGCATTAAATGAGTAAAATAGACGCATTTGATTGTTTTAGGCGATAGAATCTCACGCGGTTAAGTTAGAAGAGCTGGAGGTCTCATTACGTCAAAACATCCTGGCGGAGGTTCAAGGGATGGTGGCCTCTATGGTGAGGGAGCGTATGTCTTCCATGAACGCTGACCTCAAGAATAAGATCATTGACCTCGAGGATAAGGAGAAGGTGCACGCCAAGACGACGGAGGACGCAATGTTTAGATTGGAGTTAGTCACGCGTAAACTGGAAATGATTGAAGGAGAATTTGAGAACGTGAAGCGTAAAATTGGATTTTATCTTCTCAGCGCCGCGGAACCAGCAGCGGTTGAGTCCCCACTGAAGAAGATTAAAAGATTGTAGAAGTTGTCATATTCGGTTGAAAAATTTAGAACATCTCTGTGATACTAGAAATGTGAGCTTCTCAAAAATGTACCGTCTTTTCTGTCTAAACAACTACTCAATGATCTCAATCTAAAGATGTATTTTTGATAAAAGATTTTAATTATTTCAGATTTAAGAATGAGCGGTGTACCACCCCTAGATCTTCTGAACCCAGCTCTAGTCCCACCTCATCCAGGTTCATTCTGGCAGGAATGTCCAGATGTTAACTCCGGGTACCCTTACTACTGGAACACCTTGACTAACCAGGTATATTAGGACAGCCCCCCCCCCCCTTCCCTTAGTTAACAAAAAATGATAAATGAATGATCTTTTATCGAGGGGTGTATATTTTCTTTAGATAATTCCCCCCTAGAAAATATTTTTTTTGGAAGATATATGTGTTTTATATAGTCTTCTGAAAAAGAGTCTAGAACATTTTATATTTTTCATTAAGATTGCTTATTGCTGTACACAATTGTTTTATAATAGATGTTTTTCGCTGAATTACGGTAAATTTATGAATACTAAAAATTCAAGGCGCTTCGCGCCCTACTTTCTAGCCTCATCTTCTAAATTAATTGTGAACAATGTTCTCTTTGTGTACATCGTAAAACAAAACAAAAATAATTCGCGGATTTTCACAAAAAAATTAGTGGATTTTCAAAATTTTAAAAAATTTAATGAAGATTGAATTTTGATTGAGACAAATATTTAAAATTTCAATCATTCATAAACCTTCCCTGGGGTCCCTAGATGTCCCACAAACAATTTGGACCCGATCGGTTCAGCCGTTTTGACGTTTATTGGATACAAACAAACAGACAGACAAGCCAAATTTATATATAGATTGGAGGAAAATTTAAAAAACCCTCCCCCGGGCGGGGTGGGGTTTAATATTTGAAAATATATACATCTGCTTTTTTCCCATTAGAATCGCTTGGTAAATTTATTCTCTTGCTCTCTAGGTTGTATGGGAGATCCCCCCTGAAATGATACAATACCGCCACAGTTTACTCGCCCTTCCGCCACCAAACCCACCTCCGCCACCAACCTCGGTTCTCAAGGACAACATTCCTCCATCCTCGTTAGTTTGTGGTTATGATAGTGAACCGGAGCCGGAGGAAGATGAAGTTCCGGCGGAAACAATAGAGGCTGATCCAGAGTTTATTGGTCCCCGGGTTCCGAGGGCGGAGTCTGATCCGCCGCCTCTTGGAGCGGAGGATTTAAAACAAAACGAGTACAAGACTAGTTCTGAAACTTACACAGCATCTCAAAACAACCTGGAGAACGAAAACTCGAAAGGTATTTTGCTATTTACTATTCAAAAAGCAATATTTTGGACCTCATTCTTTAATTCCTTCCTTCTTTTACAGCACTTTAACATTAAGTTGAATAAAAAATTAATAGATGCGTTTTTTTCCGGATTTCATCGTCTTATCTAAAAGAATTTGACATATATTCAATAAACTATATTCTCAGGTGCTATATGGGGGGGCCGCCCCCCCTTGTTGCGCCTCTGTCTAGTTTTAAACATTTTAATTCACACGGAAGACGATAAGTCTTTTTTACTACTTATTTATGCTTTTCTTCTATTTAAATGTTGTTGTAATCTTCTAGAGGATCAGTGTACTACCAACGGAGATTCCGCACCTGTTAACGGAGAAGGACAGCCTCGTCAGTTAGACGATTCCATGGAGGATATTATGTCAAAGATAGAGGCTGAACAGCCTCCAGACTATCAGGTAAGTTTATCTACTCAGTAATTCATTGGAACTTAAATGGAATAGAATAAGTCTGATTACTGAGAATTGAGGATTTACCGCAATAATAATTATAATATTAACGAAAACGAATAAATAGATAGTTATGATAACAGATAATAAAATTATAGAGAATGTCCATAACCTTTCATGTTAAGATGAATGGGGGAAATGTTCATGTGGATCCATCAAGTTCTGGAGTCCCCCCTTCCCCTGCTGGTGTGCTCCTCCCTCCTCCTCATCCCTCACACGTCTTTGCTCCCCCTCCCCCGCCACCCGGTCAACCTACAGCTCAACAACCAACAGGTATAAAAGAAAATTAACTCGAAATGTGCGTCCTATTCCTCTTATTAGCTGGCAACCTTGATCAATATTCTCGGTTGAATGAAGAAATGATATTTTTAGATTTTGGAGTACATTTTATTTTTTAAATGTTTCTAGAACTGTCAAAAACGTTTCACTTGAAAACTAATTTTGTTCTCCCTTTCCAGCGGTAAATCCCCTGAAATATCCTTAAAAGAATTTTTTTAATTGGAGGGAAGGTATTCTTTTTTTTAACAAGAAATACTTGCTCTTGTACCAAATCTGAATTGAAATAAGTTTAAATGTTTTTTACATTTTGAATGTTCAGGTCTGAGCTCATTTTCACTACTCAGCTCCTACTCAGACTCTGATCAATCAGATAGTGATTCAGAGGATATTCAGGGATATAATCAATCAATTAGATATCAAGGTTACTGATCGGTCAAATAATTTTTAAAATAATGTCAAATAATTTTGAAAAAATTATTAAGACATAAAATAGTTGTCCAGGTTGATCTTTATCTTATTTTTTTTTTAATTCTTTATTCTAACTTTTAGAAATGAATTTATTTTTCTTTTTTTAATTTTAAAGTGTTTTACACAGTTTTAGTGAAATAACCTTAATTTTCATGATTGATGATTCAGGAGGTAAAGGCCTCCTCAAAGCTGAAGCCTGTGACCGGTCAACTCGACTCCTCGGGCAGGAAAGAACCAAATAAAACGAAAAGGAATTTAAAGAATTTTAAATCAGAAATTATTTCATGCAACAAAAAAGTCATATGAATCCATTTAAAAAAAATTTGATTTTTTTCAATATCTACTTATTCCTGAAAAAGGCGCATGGGGTCATTTTATATGCTAGTTGACTTTTTATGTCTTTCCAAAAAATCCCTTGCAACTCGGAATATGTGAGCGCAAAGGAACTGATTTCTTGCCTTCAACTCAATTTTCTTGATCTTTATATTTTTGTAATCTGAAGTCTAAAACCCTAGATATCTCAAAATATAAACTCTGCTAGATCAAATAGTCAAAGTTTGAAATATTTATGGTTATTGTAAAGAAATCTGAAGGTTTGGAGCAAGTAAACCAGTCGTATTATTGAATATAAAAACTCATAAACGAGGAAGGGTCGAACTGTCGTGAGAGAGGAGAAACTGTTATTAAAATTTGAAAAACTTGTTTAATTTTGTTTTATTGCCAGAATATTCTTCCCATCAAGCGAAAGCTGGCAGACAGCTGAACAGAAAGCTGCTCTAGACAGCTACAAATCTGAACATCAGGTGGAGACAGCTGGACAGCATCAAATTCAAGCTGTCAAGGAACCAACAGCCGTCAACAGCAGAAAGCGACGTATTGCACTTCCCGGTATTAAAAGAATTTTTACAAAATAAGTATTTTTTTTTAATTTAAAAATATTGAGTAAGTTTTTCTATTTTTCGGATTCAGGGTCCGAATTTAATGAATTGGAGAGAGGTCGCTAAACTGCCTAGTACTGGTTCATGCAAATCCTGAATTTTAGATTCAAAATTAAAGGTTTATGAGGATAAGAATCGGTGATTCAGGATTTGAACCGGCTATATGTATTAGGGAGTTAAGACCTCTCAAATTCATTAAATTCGGTACCAAATCATTTGTTTTTAGCATAATTATTTTTATGCTTTATCATCACGAATTGACGTACTTCATAAAAAAAACCTATAAAAAAATTATTTTTTTAGGAGAAGGGTAGAATTTTTTTTTTCATCAAAAATTTCAATTGAATAAATTTTTTTCCAGTACGGATTTATTTTTTTATTTTTGATTATCTTCTATTTTCTGTATTTCAAGTTTCAACTAATTATAATTCAGGAGGAAGGTTTAATAAGAGCAGTGAAGTAGAAACTGAGAAACCGCAGTCCTCAAATCCTGATCTCAAGGAAATATTTTAATTATTTATAATAAAGAACAAAGAAAAAAATTCTGAAGTTAGTTATGATTTTAACAGGAACTTCTTTGACTTGCATCTATTTCCCGGGGTGAACCAGAAAACTATGGAATAGGAAAACGACATTAAAGCAGTATTATGGAGTATTTGATGTTGCAAATGATTTTACTAAATGTAGCTTAAAAATCACTGATTTATTGAAATGGTTTGTTTACGCTGCCCAATTGCTGTGTCCCATGTTCGAGTTTAATAACTTAAATCGTATATCGAGTTTTCTGGTTCTCCCAGCGCAAATTTAAATATCTCATGCCACAAGGATACAAAATACATGGCAGAAAAAATTTTCTTTCTATAAAAAGATTCATAGGTCAAGGAGCTTTTGGGTCTTTCTAAGCTTCTTGAATCACCATCATCGCCATTTTAAATCGGGTAGTCCCTGTTTAGAACAATCTACCTTGAAAACAATACCAACTGTAAATTGGTTTAAAAGTGAGAACTATCTTTCTTTAAAAAAGTATGTGAATAATAATAGAAATATTGTTTTTGTAGAGCAAATACGCTGTACAGTTCGTTAAATCTAGTACAGTACTCCCTGGTAAGTGAAAAGTATAAAATTACGGAAAATCGTTACGAATACCTACATTACCTTTGAGAATTAGTAAAGTCATTTCAAGATTGTTTATGTGGTCTGATTTTGATTTCATTTCATTTCATTTCATTTCATTTCATTTCATTTCATTTCATTTCATTTCATTTCATTTCATTTCATTTCATTTGATCTGTGTAAAAACATGAAAAAAAAAACTGGCGGGGTCGGTCACTTACAAAATAAAACCAATTTTGTATATTTTTTTTTAAAAATTTGAAAGTTGTACCATGGTTGTTGGAAAAAAATATTGTTTTACATAGTGTAATAAATTGAACTTTTTGGAATGATAAATAAATTTTCGAGATGAAGTTTAGATAAAGTAACGTAAGATTGCAAGTATCCTTTTTGAAAATTATATTCCTAGTAATCTCAACAGATCTTTTTTACCTAAAAAGCCCGGCGTTGCCCGTGAAAAAAAAAATTGAAGAAAAAAATTGGAATTTTTTAGCCTATAACACCCCTCGGCCACCAATGAGCGTCCACACAAAATTTCAGCCCAATCTGTCCAGCCGTTTGACCGGCTATAGGCAAAATATATATATATGAATTTCCTGTTTTATTATATAGAGAAGATATGAACAAGGAACAAGAACAATATGTTCAGGTTCTCTCGGAACAGAAGAGAATAAAGTAGAAGATAAGACGGAGAAAAGAAACGGAACCTTAAATCCTGGTTCCATATCACCACAGGAAGAGGAAGAAGAAGAATCTATAGGTATTTAATTTTCACTTTTTGGTCGCTTTCCGTTTTATACGGAACACCCTTAGCGTCATTGTTATTGTTTTTCGAATACTTAACAGACCTTCGCATTGAACAATGCACATCGATATTCAGTTCTATTTCTTTTGAGATTAGCTCATGGGCGACTGAGCAAAAACCTGCCAAAATATCAAATTTGTTTTGATATGATGATTGTTAAATTAACATTAATTATAAATTATTTTATTATTATTTTTTCATCCTTTTATCGCTGCATCTCTGTAACCTGGTTTTAATTTAGCTTTAAAATTACTTATTCTTGTATTGCTGTTAAATTTTTCCTTTGCCCTTGTCTCCTTGTATCCCTTTATGCTTGTGTCTATGTATTCTTGTATCCCTGTATCCGTTTATCATTGTATCCCGTCATCTTTTTATCCCTGTATTATTGTATCCTTTTACTGTATTCTTGAAATCCCTGTATAATTGTATCCTTTTACTCTATTCTTGAAATCCCTGTATCCTTGTACCCTTGTATCCATATATCCCTAAATATCTATCTATTTAATCTTATTTCCATCTACCCTTTTAGATATATATATATATTGTTATGATCGTTATATGTGCGTAAGCATTAAGGGAGCTCAGAACAGTCAGGTTCTTATATAACTCTCTCCAGTTTCTTGAGGCTGAACAGAACCCTGTGTGGAATAACATGGCAGTACATCCTACTCGAAAAAAAGAAAATAATAGTTTTGCCAGAAAGAACGAAAATGGAAACATAGAAAGTAATATCCTGATAGGTTGTGCACCATGCACTACAATAACAGTTTATACTCTGTGGGCTGCAAGGAAAAGATTGCTGTAGACGAGGCTGTATTCTGAAGCACTGTGTCCAAGATGAACTTACAAGAATCAAGATTTTTTTTGTCGAAAATATCCACTCCTTTCCTAACATTTCTTTTCCCTTTTTTCATTAATAAGGCGGAATTCTGACACAAAGAACATCCTCAGAATTTTCAATTATCTTTGTTTATCTTTATGCAGACGGATTAACTGAAGAGGAACTAGCTGAAGAGCTGGTGGAAAAACTTGAATTCTTTAAAGTTGGTGGAGAGAAAATATCAAGCCTCAAACTACTAGCTGTAAAAATAGAGGTAATACATACTCCAGGGGGTTTATCCCAACACCAACATCTTTGATGAGTTTAAAATTATAAAAATCTGCCAATAATGAAGTTTAAATCACATAACGAAATTATCACAATTTTTTTAAGTGAAAAGTTCTTTATTTCTAGACATTGTACAGTGCGTGGAGTGCTGGGGCACTTACTGCAAACTATCTCAAATTTTTCCTCGAAACGGCCCATAGACGAATCCGCCAAACGGAATTGGACCAACTCTGTCTTCACCCCTGGACTGTGAGATGGGACAGGTACAGTCCCTTTTCATACACTCTCAGTTCAACCTAGTCCATGTCGCATTAACTGTAAAATCAAACCTTGGAGAGCAAAATGTATTAAAAAGCTGGAATATGTTTCCAATCTGGAGATAAGAAGAAAATGGCACCGATCTGAGGGAATGCCGCAAACCATTCTCAAGATGGAGGCAGGTAATATCGAGGTTTGTACAACATTGTTATCACGTGGCGAACTATTTACAGTTAAAGCAAAAAATTGGTTTTCTTTTCTTATAATTATTTGTAGTGTTATCGAAAAATTAAAGAGCTGGAGTCACGGAAAACCAAACTGAATTATTTCATTATTAATTTATCCAACAGCCTTTTTCATTTTTCGCGAACATTTCCTTCCATTTGTTTTGCGTACAATTTTTCCGAGGCATAAAGTACAATGCTAATATCGCCTAAACTGTCTTGAGTATAATACTACTATTTAGATATCCCGAGATTTAGGTCACTGTACACTGTACATAGAGGATGGAAGATGGCTGAGCAATTTAACTTATTTTTTGCGACTTAATAATTAATTTGTGTCCTTCTAATAATTTGTTTAATTTAGGAAAGACCAACAGTACAGATTCAGAAACAGATTAACTGGAGAAATTACTTTCATCAATCCACATATTCATTCAGGTGTGTACTCAAACTATTTGTTTCATTGTGTACTCAAAACTATTTATCTAGTTGTGTACTCAAAACCATTCATTTATGTGTTTACTCAAAACCATTCATTTATGTGTGTACTCAAAACTTTATTTAGTAGTGGTGTAAAACAATTCATTTCGTTCTGTTCTTAATTCCATTCATTGAGGCGTGTTGTGTACTAAAAACCATTTATTTCGCTGTGTTCTCAAAACCATTGGTTGAGGCGTTCACTTAAAACCGTTCATTCAGATGTGTACTCAAAACCATTCTTTCATGTGTGTACTCAAAGCCATTAATACTGGTTTGTACTCAAAACCATTAATTTAGCTGTGTACTCAAATCCATTCATGTGAGGTGTGTTCTTATCTCCATTTATTTTGGTGTGTACTCAAACCCATTTATTCATGTGTGTACTCAAACTAGTTCATTCTCGTGTTTCCCCAATAACAGTCATTCAGTTGTGTACTAAAAAGCTTTCAAACCTAAACGGCAATAAACGACTGAGGATTTACAGAATAAGAGAAGTTCAGGAATTTATTTTAGTTTTTCCATCCCAACATCTGCTAGTTGTAAAGCGCCATATTTGTGTCTGTGTCTGGTTTTGAAATCTAATCCATGGAATTAAGAAATTAGGATATCTTCTTTATATTTTCTAAAGAAACCATGTTTAAGGATAAATGCTTTGAATTATTTCTTACTTTTCTACCCCCTTCGGGGGAGGAACGGAATTCATCCGAGGGGAAAAAATTTAAGAAAAAAGAGAGGAAAGAAGGGGAAAGAAAAAAAAAGAGGAAGAAAAGAGAAAAAAGGGGAAAGAAGAGAGAAGGGAAGAAAAACTATGTTAAAAGAAGAAGAAACATATTATCACTGTACTTTGAGTCTGGGAAAGAAAATTTAAAAGATATTTCTTTCCCTTTATTTCTGCATGGTGATATTATTATTTTCCCCAGTTGCTTAAGGGGAGAGGAAAAATCACGATTTCCCCAAAAATATTTAAAAGTTTCACCCATTGGCTATATGGGGAAGAAATCAGATATTTTAGAAAAGTTTTCTATATTTCCTTTATACTGAGAACTGAGTCTCATTTCCCAATTGTATTTTAAGTTCTAACGGAAGAAAATTAAAAGAATCTTCTAGAACCTTTACTCTAGCGCAGGCATACACTGCTTGGACTTAAAGACAGCTTAGTGTCAAACAAGATTTTTTCATTAACATTTTTTTACCTGCTAGTTTTGGCTCACACAGTTAACAAAACTTTTCTGGTGGAAAAATATAATATATTTTTTTCCTTAATAGAAATATCATGTTTTCCTTAATAGAAATATCATGTTTTCCTTAATAGAAGTTTCATTTTTTCCTTAATAGAAATATCTTGTTTTCCTTACTAGAAATTTCATGTTTTGCCATCATTTAAGAAGCTATTCTGTTGCCTACATTCATGACTGAAATAATTTGATAATTTCAAAAAATCTTAGGGGAGACCTGGTGTTTGACCTTTTAGGGCACCAAAACACTTCATTGTGAAACCAAAATTCAAAAAATCTCTCCGCAAGGGGGGCTAGCCCCACTGTAATCCCCCCGCCGCCACTAACTTCTTTAAAGTTTGCGCGGGCTGTGTCACCCTACTATAAAAACCTGATGTTTTGGTTGTGATTTTGGTGAAAATATATGATTAAAAAGGGGGGGGGGATTTGAATCTCAGAACTAATATACACCCCTGGCCCTGTGTAAGTTGGTAAAAAACGTGGCAAAAATTCTAAATGACTGTAAATTAAAGAGAACAATTGAGTGATTTAATGACTTAAAATAAGGTAAAATAAGTGATTTAGTGGCAAAAATAGCTAGTTTGCGGTAAAAAGCCAAAAAAAATGTTTCCCTACGAGGAAAGAAATTCATGACAATAATTCCAATGGGGGGGACAATTCATCTTCCAGTAAGAATATACTCCCCTGTATTTCTATTCTCTTTTACTGATTATTCAATTTCAATATTTTAGAACTAAACCCTCCCCCTCTACCCACGGATACTGGATACGCCCCTCCCCCACCTCCTTCCCCGCCCACACCTCCTCCAGGATCCCCGCCCACCCAGGACAACGTCCCTCAAGACATGGAACTGGATGATGAAGATGATGAGGATGATGGCGAGGACGAACTGCATCCTCTTCTGCAACCTCTTCCTCAACCCCAGCCTCAACCCCAACCTCAATCCCAGCCCCAACCTGAATTACCGCTGGAGGATCCAACAAATATGGATTCTGAGGCAACTTCAAATTTTACCGATGAACTAAGTTCTTTTTACTCAGAAATAGGTAATCGATTATTTGTTACAGGGTTACCCACAAAGGATGAGATGTTAATACCGACATAAAATTCTGTATTAAGATATACGATGGTGAATTTGCTCCAATGTGTGAAATATATTTTTAATGGTATTTCTTTTAATTTGATTTTGATCAACGAAAGAAACAAATATACAACTGCACGAAACCATTGAGGATAGAAAAAAATGGACTAAATTCCGTACAGTCGTCTGAGATCTCATTTTGTGGGCAACCCTGTAAGCAATAAAAACTTACTGTAAGCTTATACTTAAGTCCGATAATCTTTCTTGTATTGACTATATTATTATGATCATTTCCAAGCTTCTATCCCTTCTGTACTTCAACAACACATATTTTTTCATTTTTGTTTTGTAGTTTTGATTACAGTTGGACCCATAAAATTGTGGGAAGGAAGACGACTGTTCTACCCCACTTATGATTTAGAATAGTTCAATGAACATAAAACATGATAATCTTGCAGTGTGAACACCCCACTTCACTTAGTAATTTGATTGTTTACCTATTGATAAAACTATTTGCTTTATAACAACCTAAATAATATCGTCTTTATTTTCCACGGTTTTAGGAGCACTACTGTAGTTTTAATATGTATATCTGAACTCTTCTGGTATGTGTTTAGCATATGGATATTGGATACTAAATGCAAAAATGTTGCTAATTTCAACTGAAAGGGACTGTACGTGTAATTTTAAGTGACCCTTCATGCCAAGTTGACAATGCCTGATTTTACAACGGTATCCTTAACACTTTGTCTGATCAAGTTTGAGTTGAAGATATCTATGTTTTTGTTTATTTAAACTGTTCATTTTCATTTGCAATTTCTCTGTGACTGACGCATTTTTGCTTAAAAGAATCAATGGAGAAATTCACCGATATAAACACTTTTGATGCAGAAAAACGACGTTATTTTTGATTATATTAAGGTTTCAAGGGTACCTTTGTAAATCGGGCATAGATATGCTTGCATGGAGGGTAACTTAAAAATACGGTCACAGCTGAATGATACTGTATAAAATCTGGTTTCATTTTGGATCCCTAATTTACCAGATTCTTAATTCAAAAGAGAACTGGGATGTATATGTATAGCAGTAACCCGTCCATAGGCTGATGATAAAGGATTCTTCTAAGGCCTGCTACGAAAGTAGAACCTAACCATTTAAAAATCTGGTTTTATTTGTATTATCAGGTTTCTCGGATCCTGTTGAAACCCCTTCTGTCCCTGCTCCGCAGCAGATATCCTCTCCTAGCCGAGGTGCTAGAAGCATCTCCCAAGAGGAGCAGGAGACCCCTGTAGAGGAGGAAGGAGGAGGAGAGTATGAAGGAGCCCAGGGGGATTCTGCTCCTTCATCACCTGCACCTCATACAGAGGCTAAGAGAAGAAAAAAGGTAAAACCTTGTTTTCAACCCTTGCGTAAGGCAGCTGCTAAATCAAGAAAATAGTCAAGAGACGCATCATTATTTTCCAAATTATCATTATTTTCCAAATAATCATTATTTTCCAAATAATCATTATTTTCAAAATAATCATTATTTTCCAAAGAATAATCATTATTTTCAAAATAATCATTATTTTCCAAATAATCATTATTTTCCAAATAATCATTATTTTCCAAATAATCATTATTTTGAAAATATCATTATTTTCCAAATAATCATTATTTTCCAAATAATCATTATTTTCCAAATAATCATTATTTTCCGAATAATCATTATTTTGATTAATTTAAAGTTCGCAGTGAGATAAGATAAACATATCGGGTTTTTTTTAATTTGTCAGATTTGTTGGAGGAGAACATGTATAAATGTTGAACAATCATCCAAGCTTAAGATTAATCTTTAAGTTGAAGCCTCTATCTTTAGTTTATAAACCTCAAGACTATCAGCCCCCAACTCTTAAAGGGACTGATTGCGTACAATGAAAGAGAGTGTTGGCTAATTTTAATGATAAATTTTCCTTCAATCTTTGCTCCTGCTGCTACACAAACTCAGTTGAAATCCTAGGTTTCCTATTTATTGTTATTTCCTTAATTAGACTGATCACGTAGTTTTGAGTAATCATACGTTTATATGGATATGTTTGAATGTCTGATTCACAAAGATACCATTTAAACCTTGGACTGGTCAGGGATTAATGCATAATTGATAAAAATTGCTTCTCACTTCAAGGACACTTTTAGGAATCTGACTTGCCACGTCACTTGAAATTACGTCTTACAGTTCCTTTAAAGAGACTGAATAAGATCTATAATCTCTTAAACCTGTGTTTTGTTTAGGCTGTAAAAGTATCGAACAGCCTGTCTATGAAGAAGAAAGGGTTAAACAACATGCTGGCCAAGTGGCAAAACATCAACTAATTCATCAACTAGAGCTGGTGTCAAGTTATCTATTGTTTTCTTATAAACCTAAAACAATTATTTTTTAATAGAAAATCTAGAATTCAGAGAACTCTAAATAATTTGACCTTTATTTATATTTTCGTACAATTTAATTTTTGTCTCAATATTCATAACTAGTACATGTATTTTTAGTTCAGGAATTATTCAAATAAAAATCCTGTAATGTAATCTTTCAGACCTTACAAAATATTGTAATTTGACATTGTTATTACTTTCCTTTTTCAGAATACAATGTGTCGATGAAACAATTTTTATCTAGTTTTTTTTAGTTTACGAAGGTAAGGACATAAATGCATGGAACTGTCAATGTAATTTTAAGTGATTCTCACTTAACGATACCGATTCACAATGGTGCTCTTATCATTTCCTTCATTCTCTACTGCTTAAATCCACACGTCTCTATTTTAAATAGAAAAACAAGGATATCTCGTTAATATTGCTCGTGCAAAGATTTATTTCTTTGGAATAGCGGTCGACTGGTTAGATTTATTTTTAAAGGTCTTCATGTAATTCTTTAATCCTAGGAGAACTTTTAATCACGTGGACAGTTTCTGTTTGTGTGATTGAACAATAAAATTCATAAATATTGATATTACTAACAAGAAAATTACAACATCTAATCGAACAACAAATATTTGTTTCTTCTGTCGGAAAAAAAATGCACTATATTCTTGATCTGCAATCTTCAATGTACTTTATCCAATTTGTTTCTACAATACATAGTACAGACGTACAACATGGAGTTTCTTAACAGAGCGTGTCATGAGTGTTTGCAGAGTTTAAATTTAACTCTAGTATAAAACTAATAACAGCAAATTGAACTCATGAAATGTAAAATTTCAAGAATCGGCTGAACAAACATTATTATAAATAGGGTTCAAATATGTTTCATTACGTAGGATTGGAGTTAGTTAAAGTGTGTAGAATTTTAGTGTAGGGTTTCAGAGAGCTCGCGCCTTTTTTACTAACAATACTAGATAATTAATGTTATTTTCAAGCTTATATTTATTGTTTTTTTGATGGATTTCAATAAACATTTTATAATGGAATAGGATTGGTCATTTGCATATAATGGAATAGGATTAGAGTATGCATAGTATGGAATAGGATTGGTATATGCATATAATGGAATAGGATTGGTGTATGCATAAAATGGAATAGGATTGGTGTATGCATATAATGGAATTAGATTGGTGTATGCATATAATGGAATGGGATTGGTCTTTGCATATAATGGAATAGGATTGGTCTTTGCATATAATGGAATAGGATTGGTGTATGCATTTAATGGAATAGGATTGGTGTATGCATATAATGGAATAGGATTGGTGTACGCATAAAATGGAATAGGATTGGTGTATGCATATAATGGAATAGGATTGGTGTATGCATAAAATGGAATAGGATTGGTGTATGCATATAATGGAATAGGATTGGTGTATGCATATAATGGAATAGGATTGGTGTATGCATATAATGGAATAGGATTGGAGTTATTTCAATAGAATTAGATAATTATTTAAGTTTGTGCGTTTAATCGTATATATATATATATATATATATATATATACTTTTCTTTTCTGTCCGTTTGTATCCAAACAGCTGAACCGATCGGACCCAACATTTTTAGACAACTTACATGACCCCAGAGTTGGTTTCTAGATGCTAAGAATGTAGTCTCCAAAAAACTGAATTTTTTGTATTATTTTCAAAATCCACGAAAAACAAATATTAAATCCGCGATATATTAAATCCGTAATGGTTTTATAATATACAAAGAGAAGATGCTCACAGATAGAGCCACAATTTAAAGTTGAAATAGAAGCCTAGTATGCTGTAAATATAATGGAAGTATACAATTAAGAATTAAGTCTAGATTGTCCTGTCCTTTGTTCCTAGCAGAACCAGTTTTACTGATGTAAACAGTGGTTTTTGAACTTGAGCTTGTTTACGTTTAATTCCAATAAATCTAGTTTTGAAAAGTTTGCGCAACTTGACTTTTCTTTTTGTTATTTACCTTGGTTAACAGTATTATATTGTATATGAGGGTGGGGTGTATGGGCCGGGTCCGCGTCAAGGGAGGGGTAGAGGCCGTGAAAGGGTTGAGTAGAGGCCAGGGGAGGCGGGGGGGGGGGAGAGGTTCAGGTGGAAGACTACTACTGAACTCTCTCTCAACCCGCACTCACTAGGTGGTCGGGGGCAGTTATACTCAGCACTGCATACCGGTATACCAGACATACCAGACAACATCAAATATACCAGATATACCAGAACAATAATACCAGATAAAATGCATTCTATTCATATACTGATAGACAGTTAAAAGTATATAAAATGTGAATTTAAACCTGAAGACTACAATGGCCGAATAATAAAAAGGTGAAATGTTTTTCAAATGTAATTTTTGTTTTGTTTTAACTGTGCCAAGTTAGTTTGATTTGTCCCATTTGTTAAATAATAAATAATTTAATAAATCATATTAATCTAATATCACCATTCCTTTATAGCCCGACAAGAAACTAGAATAAAAATATTTGTGTTTTTCTGTCTCAAAACGGAATTTTTTTAGAAAACAAAGAAAATGAGTTGAAAAATTTAAAACCTAAAAGTTAAGGTGTCAATCTCATAAGATTGAATAGTACCGTTATTTATGAAAATGATATTTCTGAAAAAGAAAGTTTTGTCTCGAACTAAGAGGGACTGCAGACGTAATTTCAAGTGAACTTAAGGAATATACGACTCACATCTGTACCATTAAACCCATTGTCTGATATCCATAGAAACAAGTTTGAATACATACTGATCATACTGAAAAAAACTTGGCTTGCGCAATTCTGCTGCATGAAAAAAATGTCAAAATGATCAGAATTAAACACTATTCAAGTTGAAAAAAACGACTTTTTCTTCCACATTATTGATCAGACAAAGGTTTTAAGCGGTATTTAAATGGTAGATGCTCCTCTTTTTTAGAAAGAGGGTCGCTTAAAAATACAACGACGACAATCCCTTGAATTTGATGTTTTTAAGTTTAATGCATAATTAAACATTAGAGAACATTAAGATATGAAAGACTACAGAACTAATGGCTATATTCCCACTCAAACAATTGTTTTGTTAAAATTTATTTTATAATTTTTAATGCTTTCATATTTTAAACACGCAAATTGAAGAAAATGTTCAAGATATCGATTATATTCAGTTTATTTATCAGAGTGGGGGGAATGAATAAAATTATTTTCATAAAATAAGATCTTTTAATAATGGTAAACAAATATTTTAACATGGGAGCAATGGGTTAAACCCTTTCTTTTCATTTAAAAGTTCCAAGCTTGATCCTTATTTTATTTCTGTTCATTATAAGCTTAAAGGGACTGTAGGTGTAATTTCAAGTTACCATCCATGCAAAGATGGCAATGTCCGATTTACAAAAGAACCTGAATGTGATAAAAATGTGGAAGATTTTTTCTGACTCGAAAAGTATTGATTTTGATAATTTCTCTACTGTTTCTTTAAGCAAAAATGTTCAAGTCACCTTTACCGAGAAATAAAAAATGCAAAATAAAAAAAGTTTTTTTAAAAAGTTCATACTTGATCAGACAAAGCTTTCAACGGTACTGTTGTGAATCGGACATTGCCTCTCTATCAATGGAGGTTCACCTAAAATTATCATTGACAGTCCATTTTATTAGTACCCTGAAGATGCGGATAGCTTTCAATTGCAATAATTTGAGGTTTTTTAATCCAAATCGAAACATTTCAAAAAGCTGTTCTTTCCCTAAATACCTAGCTCTTAAAAATTTAGAACATACTGAAAGGTATATCTTTAGTTCCTTTGGTGCTTTTTGTGCTATTGATAAAAAATTATAATAGAAGGTTTTTTTATGAGTGCAAGTCTTTGTAAAGTCATTACAAAATGTTGACTATTTTTCGATGTTTTATTTCATATTTTGTCTGTAATCTTCATAATGTTTAGTAAAACTTACAATAGGATTTTTGATTCCCAAACATTGCGAAAGAAATGTCGCTTCAAAGACTTCACAAAACATTTTTTTTTAATGAAGTCGCCAAAAAAGAGATTTTTACAATTGGCATCTATTGTCTAACAGAGTGCATTTACTAGACCTACAAACAAGACCTGTGGGTCTAGACAATTGCCAATTCTATTTACTCAAGCTTTGACGACAATTTTTTATATTTTATATATGTATTTTGTTACGTTTGTTCACTTCCTTGAAGAAAAATCTGTTTTTTGTTCACAACAAAACTGTGCACAGCAGAAATTCACTAGTCCTGACAATTTTGTTTGGACGTATTAATTTGCGAGAATATAGTATATATAATCCGACCTTAAACTAGCTTGGGAACCTAGCTTAGCCTGCCATCTTAACTTTCGGCATAGAAGTCTGAATTTAAACCTTTTAAACTTTGCTGAGAACATTCCCGTGGTTCAACCGAGTTCCCCAAAAAAGTTCGATGCAACTCGGTTAAGGGTTTTTCGAGTTATAATCGGACATATAAATAGAGTTTACAACGCTTAAATTGTCTGTTACCCTGCTACTCCCATTAAACATTTTAGGTTTGGTTTTCATGAGATCTTATAAATTAAAGTTTGCCATATGACTGAAGCCAAATCGTTTAACAAGTTTAAATTCCGTGAGATCCGATATTGATATCTTTCTAAGTAAACATTCCTCCTACATTGATTAATAAAAAAAATCTTCTTAAAAAAAACAATAAAAAGATAAAAATGTTTAAAAAAGTGAAAAAACGAACCATACAAATTATATCTGGAGTCTTTTGCCGATTTCATTTCATTATGTTCATTATTAGACCTCAAATAAACAATTAATGCAAAAATATGAATTAAAATTCAATTTCATCAAAATAATCTAAATTTACAAACAACAATTATATAAAGCCTTAAAGGAAACTTTTAAAAATTGATTCAGAAAACTTAACTTTAGAAATTGATTCAGAAAACTTCAATTTAAAAATTGATTCAGAAAACTTCACTTTAAAAATTGATTCAGAAAACTTCACTTCAAAAATTGATTCAGAAAATCTAACTTCGAAAAAAGAACTAAGATCCCTTAAGAAGTAATTTCAAGTAAACCTCAATTTAAAAAGTTGCATGTCCTATTTGATTTGATTTGATTTGATTTGATTTGATTTGATTTGATTTGATTTGATTTGATTTGATTTGATTTGATTTGATTTGATTTGATTTGAATTGGCCATACCTTTCAATAAATGTACGTTGAAAATCCGTCTACAGTCCCTTTTATGAAGAAAAGTACAAAAATGAACTAAGAGTTGTGAGATGAACAAGTCTGTATAACAAGACTAATATCGGAAATCTGTAAACTGATAACAGCAATTGTGGTCTCTTTATTATTCTTATCGATTTTCACAAACATATCTCAGGATAACAAAGAAAGACATATAGGATACCTGGGTGTAAAAGGTGTAACATTCTAGAATTATTTTATTTTAAAAACAGAAGTTCAAGCTTCCATTCTTTATCTTCCGAGATAAAAAACATTGAAAAATATTAACAGAATTGAAAAAAAAAATATTATTTAAAAAAAACAGTTTTAACAGAAATATTTTCGACATTTTCTTGTTGGATAACTAAAGAAAAAATAGAGACGAAAACAAGTAAAAAGCAGAGCGACTTAAAAGCTTAAATAAGCATACCTGAAATTTACCTTGTTGGATACAAAAATAACTTTTTTTACTATCTTCTGAAAAACTATATAAAGTGAATGCGACGTGACTGCTGAATTTAAGCATAACATAAACCTTGTGTTTGAACCTGGGCCAACGATGAAAAGTTTACAATTTAGTTTAACTAAAACCGTTCATATATTAGTTTTTAGTTTTAATGAAATTTAAAAGAATTTTGTAAAATGTTTTTAATTAAAATTTCGGCCCCCCCCCCTTTTCTGAAAAATAGGAACTCGTGTGATTGTGATATTCCAAGTTAGGATAAGATAGTTAGTCACGTTAGGTTGCTCATTTTCAGATGGGGAAGAGTTTCAATTGCACGTTGAATAAAAAAATAACTGCAAATTTTCCTGTACATTTAGAGTCTGAATTTTAACTTGAAAACATTTAATTTATGAAAGGGGAAAATGGTGTATATTGTTTAAAATAGATTCCAGCTTAATTGTTTCCTGAAATATTGCATGCAAACTTTCATACTTTCTACAACAGGACTCTGCTGAACCACATCTTCATAACTCCTTAATAGGGCTGGGCTTTGTTCCGTTAATGGGACTGTCGCCGTAATTTCAAGCGATCTTACATTAAATCAATCTTAATCCGATTAAGAACGGTACCCTGTTAACCTAAATCTGATAAAAAATGTCGAAGAAGGCGTAATTTTTCTAGTCCTTCATTGTTTCTGTAGCAAACAAATCCGTAAGTCGCTTATTAAAATAATGGATATCTCATTCTTTCGTAATCAGACAAAGCTTTTATGGTTTTATAGTTTTATGGTTTTACAGTTTTATAGTATTATGGTTTTATGGTTTTATGGTTTTACGGTTTTATGATTTTACAGTTTTATGTTTTTATGGTTTTATGATTTTACAGTTTTATGGTTATATGGTTTTACAGTTTTATGGATTTACGGTTTTATGGTTTTACAGTTTTATGGTTTTATGGTTTTACGGTTTTATGGTTTTATGGTTTTATGGTTTTATGGTTTTATGGTTTTATTGTTTTATGGTTTTACAGTTTTATGGTTTAATGGTTTTATGGTTTTATGGTTTTATGGTTTTACAGTTTTATGGTTTTACAGTTTTATGGTTTTATGGTTTTATGGTTTTATGGTTTTATGGTTTTATGGTTTTATGGTTTTACGGTTTTATGGTGTTATGGTTTTACAGTTTTATGGGTTTATGGTTTTACGGTTTTATGGTTTTATGGTTTTATGGTTTTATGGTTTAATGGTATGGTTTCAAGGTTTCATGGTGTTATGGTTTTATGGTTTTGTAATTTCGTCTACAGGCCTGTTCGTCAAAGAGGTAAAAAGACCTTTTTTAAATATACCTTTTGTAAAAAAAAACGAACTTATTAATATTCCAAACTATCAAATCTATGATTAAAACTCTTTCGAAAAAGCTGTGAAGTTGAAGCAAAATAACAAAGGAGAAATATTTTATTTAAACCCGCATTGTTTTGTTTTTCAACCTCGAGAATAAGAAGGTACCAGGAGGAGTTTAATATTAGTATATACAATAACTTTAATATCATATGTATTATTGAAATATGATAAAAATTTAGAATGTATTGACTAAAAAAGTGTAAAATTGTTATTTGTTATTCAGTATTCTGTTTTTAAGAACCCACATTATGATGAAGTTATTGGGTAATTTCATCTAAGTTCCTTTTTTTCCTGATTTTATTAGTTTTGCTTATGAAACTTAGAGAGTTTTGCCGTTCTTAGTTTATAGTTATTTACCAATTTTTTTGCATCTTTAAATGTTATTCAAATCCATATAGACTGTCAAAATAGGAATTTTTTCATCAATTTTTCATTCGACGTGAACGATTAATATGGTTGGCTGGTTATTTATATATAGTAAATTACCAGACAGTAGGCAGCTCCATATTTTAACAAAATATATGGCTGTGAACTGAAAAAATGTTTTGATAATTCGACAGAGAACTTATTTGTTTAGTTTTTTGTCTTATTTTAAGGTTTGTGGTCAAGTTTATTATTGTTATTACTTTATATTTTTGCAATCACATCCCTCCGGACTTTCCACGTGGTTTTAAGTGACGCTTTATATAAAGAGGGGCATTTATGTCAGTCCCATTCACAGTGGTACCTTTTAAACCTAAAAATTATGAAAGTATCCTTGTTTTCCTATCTAAAATTGATAATTTATGATTGTGGTTTCTCTGTAAAAGTGACTTGTGGATTTTATTTATGCAGCAGAAACAAATAACGTAATTAACAGAATATTTTAAATAACGGCGATATCTTCCTCATGGCTACTTGGATAAATATTTTAAGGGTACCGTTGTGAATTAGGAGTGACACTCTTTTCAATGTAAGGACACTTAAAATTACGTTTACAGTCCCTTTAAGAGTAATGATTATAACCAATTGATATCTTATATTTTCAGATGGATTGGATTACCCGAACAGTTTCAATGCTACTCTGGTATCTCAGACCCTTGGTCAAATGGTTCCTTAGACAAACCACAAGGAACATCAAACACTTACAGGGGAACTGTGGTTTATATGGAACAACTTTAAATTTTTTGAAACTGTGGTACTTGTGTTCCAGCTCTAAAGACAGTTATTGGAACTGTGGTACTTATGTTCCAATCAACTCTTTAAAGATTTATTGGAACTGTGGTACTTGTGTTCCAACCAACTCTTTAGGTAGTTATTGGAACTTCCTTCGACCTTTTTCATACAGAATTTATTTAAATTGGAGTTTGCAAAGAAGGGATGGCTGCCCTGGCCCAAATGAGAAAATTAAATATAGATTGCATTTTCTTTAAATGGACTGCTAACGAACTTCTAAATAACCTTGCATTCAGGTATTCAATTCATGAAATCAAATTTCTATAAAAGATGCTATTTTTTAAGTGTCATAATCATCATTAAACTTCAGTTTTCTTCTTTCTCCTCTGCAACATCCGCAAGTGCGCGCTTTGAGAAACCGGGCAATTGAACATAATCAATGTTCAGTAGGAAAATCACTTTTGCTTAGTCAAAGGTCTTAAGGCCAAAGGGTACCATTGTAAATCGAACATGGCACTGTTTAAATAGAGGGTCACTTGAACTTGTGTTTACATTCCCTTGATATGTTTTTTGGGCAAATGAGTAGGAATTCATAATCTCTGAAACGAAGTGTTTTTATTGTTTGAGCAGACTGTGCGAGCTGCAGCGAGTCTGTTATGGTGAACCAGCAGGAGCACAGAGAACCCTAGCGGTGGAACAATCACTTAAACTATCCAGGTACTATTTCCCGCCAATGCAATCTCAAACCAAACCAATAGTTTTGGAAACAATTGATTCTTAAATCGTATTATAAATTATGTATTAAGCACATATGTTCTAAGAAAAAAAGAGCAAGCTTTTAAATGTTGATTCCGCCATCTTGAACATAAAAAACATCTTGATAGGTTTTGTTATAAAAAAATTCATTCATAATTATTGATTAAATAAATGAAAAAAAAAGACTTTTATTTTGTAGTATGAAATTTTGAGTAATTGATATTCCTCTCTTTCAATTAGTTCAAAAATTTGCCACAAACCGTAAAAAATCCTTTAATTTAGCTTTCAAAAAATTCATTTTTACATCATTAGAAAAATAAAAGAATTTTAAAAAAAATTATTCAGGAATAAGCAGATTAGCGTCATCCTCTCCAACCTGGACACCCAGACCAACTTGTCGGAGCAGGAGACGAAGAAGTTTATCGAGGATTCTGTAAACAGTATCATGAAAACAAAATCAATTAAACCAGATCTTCATAGACAGTAAGTTTCTTTTATCTATTATTATTACAAGAGGGATACTGTGGGAACTATAAACCTGTGGAGTAGGAAGACGACGTTTAAGCAGTTTTATGTGTATTTGATGTTGTTGTAAACCAGTTTAATTGTACTTTGAAAAGCAGCTGTATTTCTATCAACAATTGCTGTTTTTTTCGTTCATTTCATTGCTTAGGATCCGGATCCGTTGGATCCGAAAGATTTTGGCTTTCTGGATCCTGATCCGCAAAAATATGCGGATCCACGGATCCGGATCCAAGGGGTAAAATATCAACCAAAAACTGTAAAAAATAACTTCTTTTTTACTACAAAAACCCAAATCTGAATTTTTGAAAAAAAGAGAGATTATAAAAATTTCCTCATTTCTGAATGGTTCATCAAGATTTAGGATAAAATATGCGAAAAAAATTTAATCAAAAATTTGAAAATTATTTTTTGTTTAAAATATACAGTGAATCAGTAAAGATATGACCTGGATCCATTTCTTTCCAGTGCGGATGCAGGATCCGGATCCGGATTCGCATCAAAATTAAATGGATCCTAAGCACTGCATTGGACTATTGAAAGTTATAAAAGTTGCCTTAAAAGTTGCACAGTTTTCTAGGTACCATTGCATATTGTATTGTATTTATAAAATTCCCTTTTTCTTTATAAAAATGAATTTGCGCTGAGGTGTTACGTCACTCAATTTTTATGGGAAAAGAATTATTATCTGGTTAAAATGGTGATAACATTTTTAATTTTTTTTTGTCCAAACAAAATTTGAATACAATTCATTATCTAAGAACTTAAAAAAGAAATGCAAATTGGGTCGGGAAAAGGTTTGAACCTCTCCATAAATCAAGTTGACGCACAAAAAATGAAGAAAAAAATTACCAACATCAAAATATAGTAATAATAGATTTCCTTTTTCATGGTTGTGACTTTTAAGAATGACTTTCTGTTTGAAGGGAAAAGTTGAGAAAATATGTTTTTATTTTTCCTCTGCCCGACTTCTTGACTTGACAATTGAAAAGAAGAAAGAAAATATGTTTTATAAAGTTCTGGAAAACATGAAACTATATTATATTTAAGTAAATTATTCCTAAAAGTGGGACTGTTAGTCTGTTAATGTTATTTTAAGTAACCATCCACCGACTTGTGAGTTCTTGCTTCAAAAACAAGATGTTAATTATCAGAATTAAACACTCTTCCAGTCAGAAAATGTACATTTTTTTCCACTTATTGGCCAGATTTATGTTTCAGTGGAACGGTTGTGAATCAGGCATGTCTCTCTGCAAATGGAGGGTCACTTAGAATTATGATAAAAGACCCTAAAACAAGAGTTTATTGAAATATTTTATTTTCCATTGTAAGTGGTTACCCAGAAGATTAAGAAGTAAGGTGAGAGGGAACTGGTTTTTTTTTACTTTCTTCATTCTTTACTAGCGGACTAGACGACAGAACTCATTTATTGTAAACAGACAACATTTATTTAAAAATAATTTGTCTTAACTAGTAGTTTGTTAGTAAGTTTGTCAGGATCTAATATAACCCAGGGGTGCTGTATGAAAAGTATAATTTAGAGCCAATTGGGATTAGGCTAATTTCGAATTTGGATGGAGAAAAAAGTTGGTGAACAAGTGTTAAAAATCTGCCGATTTTAAAGAAATCGGCCAATGTTCAAGAACAGTTTACCAATGATATAAAGTATAGTTCCCTAGGAAATCCTGGAAAAGTGCCATGAAGGTGGTGTATAATGATTTAAAGTATAGTTCCCCAGGAAATTCTGCAAATTTTTCATGAAGGTGTTGTATAATGATTTAAAGTATAGTTCCCCAGGAAATGCTGCAAATGTTCCATGAAGGTGGTGTATAATGATTTAAAGTATAGTTCCCTAGGAAATTCTGCAAATTTTTCATGAAGGTGGTGTATAATGATTTAAAGTACAGTTCCCTAGGAAATTCTGCAAATGTTCCATGAAGGTGGTGTATAATGATTCAAAGTATAGTTCCCCAGGAAATTCTGCAAATGTTCCATGAAGGTGTTGTATAATGATTTAAAGTATAGTTCCCCAGGAAATGCTGCAAATGTTCCATGAAGGTGGTGTATAATGATTTAAAGTACAGTTCCCTAGGAAATTCTGCAAATGTTCCATGAAGGTGGTGTATAATGATTTAAAGTATAGTTCCCTAGGAAATTCTGCAAATGTTCCATGAAGGTGTATAATGATTTAAAGTACAGTTCCCTAGGAAATTCTGCAAATGTTCCATGAAGGTGGTGTATAATGATTTAAAGTATAGTTCCCTAGGAAATTCTGCAAATGTTCCATGAAGGTGGTGTATAATGATTTAAAGTATAGTTCCCCAGGAAGTTCTGCAAATGTTCCATGAAGTTGGTATATAATGATTAAAAGTATAGTCCCCAGGAAATTCTGCAAATGTTCCATGAAGTTGGTATATAATGATTTAAAGTATAGTTCCCCAGGAAATTCTGCAAATGTTCCATGAATTTGGTATATAATGATTTAAAGTATAACTCCCCAGGAAATCCTAGGAAAGATTCATGTATTCCTGGTGGAGAGTTGAGAAAGGAGAATCTTAATTGGATTGGTGCTGGAATTCCATTTATATGCAAATTCAACCTCAGCAGACTGGAACCATAGACATTCTATACCCATTACACAATCATCAGTAGTTTTATGCTTGTCTTGCACACCATTTAGGACAGTGTCAAGAACATATTTGGTTATTTGACACTGGAGCCTGGGGCTTGTTTATAATTCTCCCATTAGGATTATTGTGCATCAATTTTCAAAACCTGGTCGATATTGAAAGATGGCAAATGGCACTGTCTTGGCCTTTGGTTTTACCATCACTAATTTATATTTTTTCAAAGCCTTAGTCTGTATATTTTTTCTAGCTTCAGTTTAAGGGTTGTAATTGTTAAAAGGCTGGCAGTTTTTTTATGAGCAAGCATATTTTGGTTTCCAGTTCTGTTTTCAACACCCATAAAAATGTTATAAAAATATTTTAATGTTTGATTTTGGTGTACGGAGGATACTCATGAAGCCATGGTTTATTTTCCATTTAATTCCTTTAATTGTTCCTTATCTGAAAACATTGATTCTGTTTTGTCCAAATTCAATTTAATGTTTTGTGAGAACTCTGTGACGTCCATTGTTGCAGAGGTTTTGCAAGAAAACTCCAGTCCTAATAAAAGCAGTAAAACCAATATTTATAACAATCCAATCCCAGGAGCTGAGGGAAAACAAACTCTCAAGATAACAAATTCAGAATTTTCAAAGTTTATGAGAAAGAGAAGAACATAATAATTCAATAACTCAACCCCCAAAAAAATAAAAGAAAAATTCAATTCAAGAAAATCCTTATTATTTAGCCGATATGATTATGACCATGGATATATAATAGAATGGATATATCAAAGTCAAGGTTCAATGTAATTATTTCGCTGGGGTGTTATGCAGTACGTAAGACATTGGACCCTGGACTGAAATTTGTCTTAATTTAGCCTCCTTCTTTGTATCATAAATATTGTTGGGGATTTTAAAGATTTAAACAACCTTAGTTATTTTTAATATTTTGAATGTTAAACAAATTTCTCAATATCTCGGTCAATTCTTAAGGTTCCAAAACAGCACACTACATTTTTAAATTCAAAATAATGCGCTTTTGATGCTACCAACTCTTTGGAGGCAATTTTATTATCACAAGATTTCAGATACAGTATCTCATTTCTGCTTACTCCAGGGCCCACGATTTACCAAAGTTCATCTCTAATTTGGACCCTGAACTTCACTTCAAACTTTTTAAAAGTACAAATTAATTTTTAAAGAATGAATGATAGCCAGAATGAAAATTTGTTAGGGTAAAACTTGTGCAGAGGTTTTAAAATTTTCCTTTAAAAAAACTAGGGTCCACTCAGATATCACAGCTGTGTAGCCCACCCACAAAATTACATGTACACTATCCCAAAATAGTATAGATCGGTAGATAGAAGCATACATATAAGCGGGCCGTGCTTAGTTATATTTAATATTTTGAATGTTAAACAAATTTCTCAATATCTCTGTCAATTCTTAAGGTTCCAAAACAGCACACCACATTTTTAAATTCAAAATAATGCGCTTTTGATGCTACCAACTCTTTGGAGGCAATGTTATTATCACAAGATTTCAGATACAGTATCTCATTTCTGCTTACTCCAGGGCCCACGATTTACCAAAGTTCATCTCTAATTTGGACCCTGAACTTCACTTCAAACTTTTTAAAAGTACAAATTATTTTTTAAAGAATGAATGATAGCCAGAATGAAAATTTGTTAGGGTAAAACTTGTGCAGAGGTTAAAAAAACTAGGGTCCACTCAGATATAACAGCTGTGGAGCACACCCACAAAATTACATGTACGTTAGCCCAGAATAGTATAGATCGGTAGATAGAAGCATTTCTATATGCAGGCCGTGATTTTGACTGTAATTCTTACAGCAGAAAATTCGATCCTTCATGAAAATTCTATTTTTCACATCTATATATAAATTTGGCTTGTCTGTCTGTTTTGGTGTTTGTCTGTTTGTTTGTATCCAATAAACGTCAAAACGGCTGAACCGATTGGGCCCAATTTTTTTGTGGAACATCACGTGACCACAGGAAAGGTTTACGAATGATAAAATTTAAAAAAAATGTGTATTAAAAGTTTTTAATTTTGTAAATAAATTTAAATTCTTGAAAATCCGTGAAATTTTTTTCTTTGTTTTAAAATGTAAACAAAAAGAACATGTTCACAATTTAAATAGAAGATGGGCGTGAAGCGCCCTTAAAAGCCTAGTTTGAAATACTTGACTAAAACTAAAGACTGTCATAAAATATAATAGATTTTTGAAAAGATTAAAAATGAGTCTAATACCCCTGACTATAGATTAGTAACTTGTCTATGATTGTTTGTATAGTTGTTGATCCAAAGAGACTTCTATTGTAAGAACCTAGAA